ATGAAGACGGCCCAGCAGAACACACGGCCGTTCAACACGTACCCGAGGACGGACAGCGACGGAGGACGCAGTCCAACGGGACAGGTAGGAGTCGGCCCAGATGGCCGAAGCTGCTGCTGGTTAGTTCAGGGAAGTATTTCCTCCTCTAGACCCGATCCGGTACTTATCAGGGTCCGGTACTTATCAGGTGCGGTATTTATCAGGTTTTATACATCTGCTCAAAATCCTGGAAAATCCTTGAATTTCAAATAGATGTTTTCAAGGTTTGGAAAGTTTTTGATTTCTGTATAAAGTCCTTTAAAGTTCTTCATATTCAAACTGCACAGTTTGGTACTAAAGTTCAAGCTAATGTTTGATTAAAGGCATTAATTTGGAAAATGTTATTTACAGTTTAAACCAGATATTTTCATACACCTCATAAAAAGTCTGACATTTTTTTCTGGCTGCCTGAAGTTAAATCAGACTAAACTTTTCTTGTTTTATGTCAGTTAGAATCACCAAAATTATTTATATTTACTAAATGCAAAAAAACTGATAATATTTAGAGATTTTTTTTGTAACGTTCTGAATAGAAAGGTAATTTACCTCAACATGTTTGAATTGTTTCAATATAAACAATATTTATCATTCCTAATGGCTCAATGACCGATTGATCTATGTATTTGAAATGAAGGTTGAAATATAATTTATACTTTATATGTTATTGAAATTATGGACATTTTTGTTAAATTAGCGTTTTGCTAAGCTAATACGGTGGTAGATTAGCTACCGCTGCTATTAGCTTAGCTAACACAGTGGTAGATTAGCTACCGCTGCTATTAGCTTAGCTAACACGGTGGTAGATTAGCTACCGCTGCTATTAGCTTAGCTAACACAGTGGTAGATTAGCTACCGCTGCTATTAGCTTAGCTAACATGGTGGTAGATTAGCTACCTCTGCTATTAGCTAAGCTCAGAGCTGATGAGTTGACAGATCACCAGCTCTGATGACCTGTCAGAGTTCGTGTTTGTCGCCTTTTCATTCTGTAAGTTTGTGATTTTCTTCTGTTTTTCGTCTCTACCATCCAGGTGGTGCGACACCATGAGTCTTCCCCCCAGAACGGACCCTCCAGCAGCTCCGCCCGGGGTTCCTCCAAGCCCCCAGTCGGCCCCCCTCATTCCCACCACGCCTCCCACCCCAGCCTGACCCCGGACTCCTCCCAGCTGTCGCACACACCCCATCCCAACGCGCCGGCCCCACGGCCCCGCGTGCCTGCGGCGGCCCCGGGGTCGGGTGCGGCGTCTCAGGGCCGCTCCCCGCAGCGGGAGCCCCAGAGGGTTTCCCATGAGCAGTTCAGAGCGGCGCTGCAGCTGGTGGTGGACCCCGGCGACCCGCGGACCTACCTGGACCACTACATCAAGATCGGCGAGGGATCCACTGGAATCGTGTGCATCGCCACAGTGAAGACGACCGGGAAGCTGGTGGCCGTGAAGAAGATGGACCTGAGGAAGCAGCAGCGCAGGGAACTTCTCTTCAACGAGGTATGGCTTTAACATCCGGCCGCTTTGACCTCTGACCCCTCCTGGAGGTGGACTGTGGCTCAAACGGAAAGCTCTCAGAAAAGCTGTAAACATTCCAGCAAAATCTGCTGCAAAACCAAAACAAGTCAGCAGAAAATGAGAAATGAATCCACACTGCAAAAACACAAAATCTGGCAACGTATTTTTGACAAAATTAATTTAAAAGTAACTTTTCTGCAGGATATAGGAGCTTGTTTTAAGTCAATAATTCCTTAATATTGGTGAAAAAGTTCCAGTTCTGCTGGGAGATTATTTCACTTATGAGATTTTTCCCATATTGTAGTGAAACTCGTACTTTTTTAAATGTAAGCACGTTTAGATTTGGCCAAATGTTTCAGTTGTTGATGACTTTGTATTTTTGTGCTTTTATGATGAAAAGCACTTTGAACTGCCTTGTTGGTGAAATGTGTTAAACAAACTTCACTGATTTAATCAATATTAAGGAGTTATTAACTATTGATAAGCTCCTGTATCTTGCTGAAAAGTTACTCTAAATGAGTTTTGTCTTATTTCAAGTGAACTAAGGTGTTTGCACTAGAAAGTAGACCAAAAATACTTGGTAAGATTTTGTGTTTTTGTAGTGTTTCTCTGTACGATTAAATTATTTCTTTGCTGCCCAAAACAGACGCCAAAAAGATTTAATTTAGATATAAAATAAGCCGTGTTTCCATCCCATTGTCATCAAAACTTTGAGTGAACTTTTAAAATGTTGCAAACATGGAAATAAATGGAAAATGTGAATTAGGCCAGTTTCTGTTTACAGGTTTAGAGCAAAGCAACCAGGCAGATGTTGTCAGATGTTGCCGTCATGCATGGCTGTAATAAACAAGATCTAGAGGTTGTAAACCATCATGAACCACACATCTGAGAAAACCGAATTATCCGATCTCAGCTGGAGGTCTGAACTGTGCCTCTGGTAAGGCACAGACCCACTAACGAAGGGGGAAGTTCGCTACATCAGAGCCTATTTAGCTACTTCAGAACTGATGTGTTTCCATTAACTTTTTTTAATGGAAAAGTCAAAAACCAACTCAAACAAGCATAAAAACCTTTTTGCAAATTTGAGGAAGTTATTTCTTATTTTGCCGTTTCCATCAACATTCTGTGATGCGTTGCATCGAAATGCAGATAAAAAAATAGTTCATGGAAACCTGGTTGCTGATTAGATAAAAATAAGCATACAAAATACAGGTAACCTGGTCTGTAGAGAATTGGAAACTATGCAGAACATCATCCTTAGATCTATATAAGCTATAATTCTGTCTTAGAAAATTATAAAAGTTTAAGCTTATACCTAGAAAGTTGAGTGGAAGGAAAAAGTGCACCAGATACGGACTGTAGCTAGAGTGAATTAAGCACATATTCAGGAAAAAATTTTTTTTTTTACCATTTTAAAAAAAATTTCTATGGACAACAGAGAAAAGAAACTACTTTATGCTACCATGAGGTAGGAATGAACGCTCACGAGTCTCAGCTGTGTGATGATAGTAACGGTAGTTCCTGTTTGTTGGTTTTGTTTTTCCCGGTGACGGCAGGTGGTGATCATGCGGGACTATCACCATGACAACGTGGTGGAGATGTACAACAGCTACCTGGTGGGCGACGAACTCTGGGTGGTCATGGAGTTCCTGGAGGGAGGAGCGCTCACCGACATCGTGACGCACACCAGGTGATGGCTGAACCCGTCGTCATGGCGACGCAGCTGCTTGCTTTTGGTTCTTTTACTCAGCAGAAACTGCAGGTCTTTGCCAGATTTCCTGGAATTTCTTGGATTAAAAATTGGACGTTGAGTGGGAAAATGTTTCAGTTTAAACAACCAGAAGTTTACATGCACCGTTTACAAACACACTCTGGTATTTAAATATGTCTTCAGTCCAGCAGAACAAGCTGTGCCAAACAAACCCTTGGAGAGTTTTACACTTAAATTTCAATTAATTAATAACTTAAACACCATTTATCACTTTTTATTATTGTTTTGGATACAAAAGTCCCGAACTGGAACCCTTGTATTTGCATGTTTCTGGTACACCCCTAAATCTGATGCACAAGCAACTATAAGCTATAAAAATCTTTGTCGTTGAGTTCATATTTCTATAAAAAGCAGTTTTTGAATTAAAATTGAAATTTATTTTCGATTATTTAGTTATCCACCTTGTAATTAACCTGATTAAATATTTGAATCGAGTCCCATCAGTAATTTTATTCTGAAACGTGGAGAATGTTACAAAAATGTTGAAAAAATGTGGAACTAGAAATGTGTGAAAATTCACTGCAGCTTTTTATCAGAAACTTTCCACCTTCTGATTAAGAAATCTGTCTTTGAATCAACTAAAACATTTAATAGAAATGGAATAGAAACAGTTTTTTGTTTTCCTACAAAGGAGAAAATAAGTTCTTAAAGTGTTAAAAACAATGTATAAAATACAAAAAATGTTGTCATTGAACTGATCTGATGTCAGCAGAAATATTTCTGCCCAGTAGGGGGCAGCGTTGCACAACGTGATGGAGAATCTGTGCTGTGATCTGGTATTTTTCCACAGGAGCAGCTTTTTAATGTCTCCAGTGTCTCTGCTGCTTTTCTTGGTGCCAAATTCAAATTAGTCGCCCATGAAATTCAGTGAAACTCTAAAATCTTGAAAAACTGAATCCCAGATGACTTTGGTTTCTGTTTGACTGCAGGATGAACGAGGAGCAGATCGCCACCGTCTGTCTGTCAGTGCTGAAGGCGCTGTCTGTCCTGCACACTCAAGGCGTGATCCACAGAGACATAAAGAGCGACTCCATCCTGTTGACGCATGATGGCCGGGTACGTAACCGCCGTACGCCGAAAACGCACAACGCCCTCCACGTCCAAAAAGCTTCCAAATAAACTGGTCTGTTCAGAAATATTGGCATCTTTACTGTCTGCCTCCACACAGAAAGACGGATGTTTGTCCATATTCTGGTTACAGTCCTGGTTCTATCGCTTTTCTTTCTTTTCTTCATCTCCGTCTTCAGACTTTATCTGGGATTTTTGAGTTAATTTGGTGGTTTTTGATCATATCCCTCATGTTTAAGTTTCAGGCATTTTAAAGAGCTCCAACACGTTTCACTGGGCCCACAGCATCACACAATTACCACCTTACTCAACAGTGAGGTTCATTTGAAGTTTTTCATGCAGAAGTTTTAATCTAAGGGTGTCAAAGTTGCAACATCTGCTCCTCCTCCAGCTGCTGCGGTTCTTCCTCTCTGCTCTGAGTCAAACCAACCTGTTCCCCTCCTGGCCTGTGGGGGCGCTGCACCTAGAGCCACTGAGGAAAACGACAGAGTGCAACTTTAGTCTTAATGAAATGTAAACAAAAATGGAGCAGTGTCAGATTTTAGCAGTTGGAGGATTTCTCTTTAGTCTTTGATAAAGAACCACGAGACGTTTCTCCAGCTAACGCTAAGCTAGCGGGTGTGTTTGGTTGTATTTACCCAGAATGCCCTGCCCTGCAGTCCACTTCCAGCTTTTGGAACGGTCTCTAGTCTGCTTGGCGTTTACATATGCATTCGAACTGCACTATAGTAGCAGAGCACGGAGGGTGATTGACAGTGCAAAGACCCGCCTCCTGGCTCTGATTGGTTGATTCTAGTTGGCACTGGGAGAGGAGCTCAGTGTTTACAAAGTCTGTCGTAAGAAATATGTAAAATACATTTACATACTGCAGGTATAAGGCCTGTTACCGGTATTTATTTATTCATATTAGAACCAATCATCAGCTCTTTTTTACTTCTAGTTTTAATTGCAGTTAAGAACAATAAGTTGCCCACTTCTTTGAAAAACAAGGAACTTGGGTTGCGATGTAAATAAGATCGGTCTGGAGTTAAGAGTGGCCTCATTTCTAGATTTTTGGTATTGTTGCCGAGCTGCAGCAGATACCAGATCACTTCCTGCGTGGTGACAAGCAGGTTTCTGCTTTCTGCAGAAAATGAAACCAGCCTGGTTGCATAGCAACTCCAAAGTGAGAAGCGCCTCAGTTTGCTTGGTGTCACAGTCAGCAGAACAGTTTATTGCACTAATGTTGACGATGCAATGTTAGTTCAGGTGCGTAATAAACAGAAAAAGAACATTGCAGTCACTCTGTGTGTTGGATTCTGTTTACTTGCAGGTTGTTATGGCCGTCTGTCTTTCATTGGGTAAATCCTGAGCTTTGCCATCTGTATGCATCATAACAATTAAATTAAAGATTACACGTAACTGTAGTATACTAGTTTTTGTATTTCTATAAAACCAAATAAACAATTTCATTGTTTCTGTCAGGTTTTTGGTCATATCTGTAACGTTGCATTGGTAACAGCAGTGCATCAGAAACATCTCTTATTACCGATATCAGCAATTCATTTACAGTGATTTCCAGACTATATCTTGTTACTTTTTCAAATGTAACAACATGTTGTTGTTACATAATTATTAGCCACAACTATGTGGCTAATATAGACACATTGCAGCGTGATGTCATGCATGCAAGATCCCACCTCCCATTTATCCACTGGAGGGCAAAAACCTGCTAGCATTGTTATCAACGTAACGCACCAAGTCTTAAATCTACGCATCATATATAAAAGAAGAAGGGACGCAATGCTTTGATGCTAATTGTCAACTCTACAACTAGATAAAAAGGCCAGGAAAAAGTTTTAAGAAAAAAATAGCGAAGAAGAGCTAGCTACGCTAGCTTGACTTTGACGTCCTTAACGTAGATGTGCTGCAGAATTTGTTGTTTCAGTTGAGTAAAAAAGGCAACAAACACACAAACTGTGACCGATCATCAGTAGAGCAATCTATAACTAATACCAGCGGTAGCTAATTTACTGCAGCGATTACTTATTAATAATTGCAAAATAAACACAAAAACTGAAAGCATAAAACTGTAACAGTCTGAATATCCGGATGTAAACATTAACGCATCAACGCGGATTTTACCTGGAGAGGAGAGAGACAGCAAAGAGGGACTGAAGAAGGACGGCATTTTCCAGACATCGCATTAGTCAAAACATTTGACAGGAAGAGGAAAACGTATAAAAAGTTGCACTATTGCATAAATCACATTTATTTAGAAATTGTTAAACCTGAACAGCTTTTGCTACTCAATTACTTTTTTATGGATAAATAATCACTGATCAATCTTACACTGACTGATTGATGTTCAGTCAGAGCTTTTCACATGTCCAGATTCTTTGTTTGCTACAAATGATCAAGCGTTCACTAAAGAAATGCAATGTTATTGCATTTTATTTATTTATTTTTTTTTTAAAAGGAAAAATCTGCAGAATTTTGACATTTTTAAAGCAATTAATGGTCAGAACAATCGATTGTTAGAATGATCTGTTAATAACCTTTAGTTGCAGTCTTAACTTGCCTTATTGATGCAAAGCGCTGCCTCTCTCTCTTCCTTTTCAGTTGCACCAAAACAAAGCCAAGTCTGTTAACTTGCTAGTTTCGAGTCGAGCCTGACCCTCTTTTGCTTATGATGATCAGCAATGTGCAAGTCACACATTCTGAGTTTAGATGAGCTAATGTGTAAACCACAGTGGAAGCTGGCTTTTGTATGTGGTTTGGCGTCTTCGCTTGTTTCACCCAGAGTTCTGGACTCCAGCTGCTGCTGCAGGCGTCGTTTTGTCTCTTTCAAGCCAGGAGATAAAACGAAAACAGTTACCCACAATCTGTTTCATCGTCTGCTGCTAATAATTCAGAGCTCGTACTGATGACCCAGGCTTTGACTCTCTGAGGTTTGTTTTTATCGTAGAAAATGTTTCACACGTCTGAGACGTCGAAACGTGTTTCACCTTCTAATAATTAACAGACTGAGGTCAAAAACGTGACAACTTTCACAAATGAGAGAGCGCTCCAGTTGTAGTGGGATGTTTTTCTAGAAAATGGCTTCACAGATTTATGAAGGTAAACCAGCCAGGACGTCGTTAGGCCTCAAACGATTAATCACGATTAATCGGTTATTGAAACAATCGCCAACTAATTTAGCACCTTAACATTACACTTAGATCTGTCGCAGTAAATCAGTTAATTGCATAATAAATTAAAACAAACTCAATCATTTCCATTTGCATGATTTATTGTTTCTCTCTTTCCCTTCTTTGCTAGCTGGACGATAAAAGTTTTCATTCTGGTGTTTTGGTCTCAACTTGCTCTTTTTTTGAAGGACAGTTTTGTTTATAAAGCCTTTAGTATCAGTTTTATTTGTTTATTTGTTTTGGATAATTAAAATGTCTTCCAGTTTTATTGTTAAATGTTCATCAGAATGTAAAGCTTATTTAATGTTTTGATTCTTAACATGAAATTACATGAAAATGGCCTCAAATCAACAATATCATCGTCTATCGCAGTAACTTCTGGAACAATTTACCGTCCAACAAAACGCATCATGACAGGCTTAATTGCACTCGCTGTTTTAAAGGTGAAATGTTTCCCGTATTGTTTTTCTTGACTTGATGAACTCTGCAGCTGTGCAGCTCCATCTCGGTTCTCTGTATTTCTCACACTTTCAGCCTTTATTTTTGGACATGTGCAAAATGTGTGGATGCAAATTTCACTTTTCTCTACCAAATAGAGATGATTTGCTTGCAGGAATCCATGGTTTTGGTTTGCAGTTGTCAGGGCAGGCTGCAGAGTTTGGTGTTTGGGTGTGAGGGACTTTGTGGTTTGACCTTGCAGGGGAAGCAGACCCAACCAACCCTGAAGCGTTTCTCGGCAGGAGGATGGGCGTGCGTTTGACCTTCCTCATGAACCTGCTTGCTGTTTTTTAAAGTTCTCTTATCGTTATCCGATGCTAAATTACTGCGCTGTTCAGTTAAATATAATTATATCAGGTGTTGTGTGGCATCCGCTGAGGTCATGTTACACATTGGTTGTATGAATGTGTTTGTTTAAATGAGAGTCACTTCTCTGAACCAGCTTGTTTCATTTCCCTCTCTGGGTTTGAGCGCTGCACACGGCTTTGTGGTCACAATCCGCTTCTCAACATTACTCAGCCGGGCACAAACTTTCTGAGAAAGAGAAGGGTGGGTTCTCATCTGTCCACTGCAGGAGGCTGCAAAGTTATGCCCCACATAACGGCTCAAACAAAAATACCACTTTGTTTTGGATTAAAACGCCTAATAAGGCAGAAAATTAGTTGCAAAAACACAAAACCATACAAGGTATTTCAAGTCTAGTTTCTCGTGCAAATATCTTGGAATAAGATTAAACTAATTCACATTTCCAGTTCCACTGACAGATTGTTTCACTTATGGGAAAAATGTGGGTGAAATAATCAGTGGAACTAGTATTTTTTCATGAATATTAAGGAATTATTGACCTAAAACAAACTTCTGTATCTTGCTGAAAAGTTAGTTTTGTCTTATTTCAAGTGTACTAAAATACTTGCTCTAAAAACTGGACCAAAATTAATTGGTAAGGTTTTGTGTTTTTGCAGTGTATTTGTTACCTTCAGCTGCTGTGGTTGTTTCATCCTGCACTGTGTCAAACATTTTGGAAAACCTGTTTTTGGCCTCTGCGTTTGTTTTGGTTGTATTTACCCAGAATGCCCTGTGTTGTAGTCCACTTCCTGCTTTTAGAGCGGTCTCTGGTCCGCTTGGCGTTCGCTTATGGATTCAAAGCCTGGCGCAATAAGCAATCATTGAACAGGGCAGGTGTGAATGCTGCCTCCATTTCCTGTCATAAACAGCATCGCTGTGTTTGTACTTCCGTCTCCAGGTGAAGCTGTCAGACTTCGGTTTCTGCGCTCAGGTTTCTAAGGAAGTCCAGCGGAGGAAGTCTCTGGTTGGAACGCCGTACTGGATGGCACCAGAGCTCATATCCCGGCTGCCGTACGGTCCAGAGGTGAAAATTACTGATAAATTATTCTGTTTTCACAAAACTAACGTCCATGAAACATGCGGGTGAAAACAATCAGGCGACTGAACGTTTGCTGTGTTTCCTTTTTTTGTCTTTTTGATGTTTTCCGCTGGGCGTTTGCAGGTAGACATCTGGTCTCTGGGCATCATGGTGATAGAGATGGTGGACGGCGAGCCGCCGTACTTCAACGAGCCGCCGCTCAAAGCCATGAAGATGATTCGAGACAACCAGCCGCCCAAACTGAAGAACCTGCACAAGGTGAAACTGCTGAAGCAGACCCACCAGAACCAGGATGCGAAATGCTGGTTTCTTTGTGAGGAATGTGAAACGTGGTTGTTTTCCCACGTCGTCTTCAAGGCCAAAATGTTTCTTTATAATGTTGTAAGAGTTGAGACACAAGATGGGAAAAGAGTTGAGTCATCTGAACTTGTATTCACTCTCACTGCTGCTTTCATAATCACAGAATAAATCCGAATGAAGCAGAAGTCTTTGGAACATAAAACCTGTTTCACTTAATGTCTCTTTAAGTCGTAGTTTTGGGTCATCCGAATCAAAATGTCTATAATTGTATCTTCACTGTGAAATGTGACAGACATATTTAGTGAAAACAAAACCGACACCTTCTGTCCAGCTGACGGTTTATCATCTCTGGTTCAGGGTCTTATCAGCTTCATCATCTCCTTTCATTTCTACTGAGCTGTGAAACGACACGAAAGCAGCTGAGCAGAGCAGGACATTCAGTCAGAGCTGCAAGTGGCAATTATTTTAGTTATCAGTTACTCACACAATGAAACACCGACGGTTAATCAACTATTCAGACAATAACGAGATTATTCTAACAATTGTTCTGATGATTAATCGATTGTTCTAGTTATCACAATTATTCTGACAGTTGATGATTATTCTGATTAATCGGATAAGAAAATTGGCTCATTCTGCATATTTTTCAATAAACCACTTCAGCCGATTTATGCAATATCAAAAATCCATTAACATCTATTTTTTAAACAAAATAAACATTTTACAAACACACTCAGAACGGTACCTAATCCAAAACTGTACAAAAGAAAATTCATTTTGCATCTAAGATGAAAAGAAAATCTCCTGTAAAGCACCTTTTCCTGTCCAGCTATTAATCGATTAATCCAAACAATCACCAGATATGTGGCCCTGCGCTGTAACCGAAGGTTTCAGCTTTTCACATGTTGATGGTGAAATATTTTATTGGCTGCAGATTCCAGAATCGATCAAAGGAACAATACCTTATTTCATTTTAGGTAATAAAATGTTTATGTTCTTGTTTAAAAGTGGGATTAAATTATTTATTTGCATCTTTAATGTATTTTAATAATGTATAAAAAGGCTTTAGTAGTTAATGAAATTGCTTTTATCAGATTAATCGATAAAATAATCGATTAGTGAAATAATTAATTGCAGCTGTAGTTTAAGCTCTGTCTGAGTGGAGAGCAGGATGGGTCCCAGTACCGAGCCCTGAGGTTCTCCAGATGACGCCGCCGTAATCTGTTTAGATTAAATGATGAAACTTCAGGATTTTCTTTTCTATTTATCACATAAAATAAACTTATTATGTTGTTGTCGTTCAGACATGACGGTGAAATTGTGAATGAAATCTCGTAATTTTAAAAAATGTTAAAAACCACATAAAAATCATAACTGTACATAAATATACAAGTAATAATGCTGAATATATGTAACTTATCATTTTCAGACAGTCTGAGTATTCATAGCTAAATAAACAGTTGTTCTGTGCAGTAAGTGCCCTGGGTGTCTCCCTGCAGGTGTCCCCGCTCCTCAAAGGCTTCCTGGACCGGATGTTGGTGCGTGAGCCGGCTCAGAGGGCGACGGCCAGCGAGCTCCTGAAGCACCAGTTCCTGTCCAAGGCCGGCCCGCCGTCCTGCATCGTCCCCCTGATGCGGCAGAACAGGATGCGATGAAGCGCGGCGCTCCACACCTCCGGGGCTGTGAAGGCGACTCGGGCGGATCGGGATCCTCCCGCACCGGGAGCCCAGGCGGTGCGGGAGGATCCTGCGTATCCGCTGAGAGTCACTGAACTGTGGGGAGCGCGCTCCCCGAATCAGAGGCAATAACGACGAATGCGTGGGTGAATGAGTGTGATGTCATGTTTCCGGACGCAGAAAAAGGCTCTTTTCCTTTTGTTGTTTTGGAGTACAGCCGGGTTCGAAGGAGTCGGTGACGGTTGGAGTAACTTTTTAAATCTCACTTACCGACAATCTGCAACGTTTCCACTACAGACACTGATCCCGACCTCTGGACCCTGAATTTACTACTGACAGCGGCGACCTTTGGACTCGGACTGTATTTTGTAGCCATAATTATCCTAGCTTCCTGTTGTAAACGAGCAAAAACACACTAAGTGAACATGTAAACACTGGAGTCATGGTAGCAGAGGACTTTTTTTCTTCCACTTATTTCCTAATATTCCTGTGTAAAAACGGTGAACATAGAGAAAACATTGATAATTTACCGTCTGTTTTTATGATTGTTGTATTTTGTTTATTACGATGCAAAAGCACAAAATCTTACCAAATATTTCTGCATAGTTTGAAGTGCAAATATCTCAATACATTTGAAATAAGACAAACTCAAAAATAAGTTTTCAGTAAAATAAAGGAGCTTGTTTTATGTAAATCTGCTAAAATTGATTAAAAGCAGGACAAGTTAAACTGATGGATTAGTTAATTTATATCAAGATATTTTTATAAATAGTCTCCCGGTAGAATTTGTAACTTTTACATCTATTTTAAGGAATATAGCTTCTTTACAATAAGGCTTCACTTACAGATGGCCAGTAATTCAGATATGTTAATTCATCTTTAAGCACTTTATAAATCATTAATAACTGTTTATTATGCATTAATTATTATCTAGTTATACTGAATATTTCAGACTACCTTGTAAGAACAATAAGCATTTGCAAATTTATTTTTGATATATCTTCCCATTCTTAATTCAACAGTTATGATGATTTATTAAGTGTTTATAGATGAATGAATAACATATTTATAAACTATTATTCATCTATAAAGGGAGCTTTATGGTGAAGTTATGCACAAGCTCCTATAGTTTGCTGTAAAGTTGTTTATAAGTTATTTTTTCTTATTTCAAGTGTAATAAGATATTTGCACTAGAAACTACCCAGAAATACTTGGTTGGATTTTGAGTTTTTGCAGTGTGCAGAGTGAAACGTATCGAGCACTGGTGATGAGATGCAGAGGAGCTGCACTCATTCGTGCAACACTAAACCCTCCAGAAGAGACGCTATGGGAGCATTAACCAATCAGCACACAGTCCCATAACACCAGGTCAAATTTTACTAATTCCTTCTTTATGTTTTAATAACTGTAGCATTTTTAGAACAATAGGCTTTACTTTATGTTTGATTTTTTTTTATATATATATTTAATTTTTTCACTGTAGAAAATGAACTAAAATACTGAAACTTCTTGAACTCTTGTGATGTTGTTTTTTTTATGTCTCCTACTACTAACAAGCTGTTTTTACAGTAAAGGACAGATGAATTTGACCCGTCTTGTTTCTGAATGACACTTTTTCTCCATTAAATGCAGCCGGGCGTCCTCAGAGGAGGTCTGCAGGTTTATCTGATTTGGCGCCTGAACTGTAAATGAAACAAACTGTTTGGTTTTCCACATCCAGAGGACCAGCTAAACTCAATCTGTTGTATTGATTAAGTGATTCCTGTTAACACAAACAGCTGTTCTGTGGATCCGCTGCAGCGTGACGTCACAAGCTGCAGAGGGCAAAAAGCTGCTATCTGATGATGACTAGCTTTGGTTTTAACTTATAACAGTTAAAACCAATAACAGCTAGCAGTACAACTCGCAAAATCTTAAATATTCACCTGATATACAAAAGAAAAATGGATGCAGTGCTGTGCTACACTACAAGTAGATAACAAGGTCAGGAAATGTTTTAATTTTAAAAATAGCGAGGAAGTAGTTCAGTTATGCTAGCTTGACTTTGACAACCGTAACATGTAGATATGATGTGGAATGTGGCGTTTCGGTTCATTTAAAATAAATTTTAAAAAAGGCAACCTAAACATAAACTCTGACAGATAATCAGTAGAGTAGGTGGTTAAATTATATAATCTACCACCGTGTTAGCTTAGCTAATAGCAGCGGTAGCTAATCTACCACCGTGTTAGCTTAGCTAATAGCAGCGGTAGCTAATCTACCGCACCGATCGCTTATTAATAATTGCAAAATAAACATCAAACCTGAAAACATACATCTGTAACTGACTCAATGTTCTGTTCTTTATGTGGGAAATGTTTGTTTTTGTTGTTGAATCCTGGAACATAAAGTGGCGTTGTTGTCAGTTGCTATGGCAACGGGTCTGCCTGTAGCGTAGCCGACACACAGAGCGAGGAAAGAGGTTTTTAGTTGTTCTTTAACGGTTTTTCTGTGTTATTTTTCCTCTTTGCTGTGGCGCTCTGCGATAAATGAATCCTGCATCTCCAGGTTTCATTTAGTTAACGGCGCGGTGGCGGTTACGGATGGCGAGGAAAAGAATCGTCTTTTTGCCTCCAGAATGAAATTTCCGGATGTAAACAATAATAGCGAGGGGCCCATAATCAAATATAACAGCAGTTGGTGTTTTTGGCTACTTTCACACAGCAGGCGAATGCAATCTATATCCAACTTTATTTTCTATATTTAAATTTTCAAATATAGACATCTGCGTTCCTCATAATTCACAACAGACACAGATTTGTTGGCACATCTTAAATAAAGCAGAGAGAAATTATAATTTCAATTCTGCCTGTGTGACTTTGCACAAAATCTTTTCTTTCTGTCTCTATCCAGGTTTTGTTTTGTGAAAACACAAATACTAAAAAAAAGAATAAAACCAGAGAGTAGAATTTTAACAGGTGTAGCTTTATATAAACAGTAGATTGAATCAAAGAATATGATTATAAAGTACAAACTAAAATCCAGGTGCAGCCTGTCTTATTTTTTTAATTCTTTTTTCACATTTATCCTAAATTATTTTTGGCATATATTTTGATATATTTTCCCATTTATTCCCATGAAAAATAAGTTTACTTTTAAGTTAACTGTGAAGGTTAATTTATCCATATCTATATATATTAAAAACCTGTTACCCATTAACGATTAATCGATTACTAAATTAGTTGACGGTTATTTCATTGATAGATTAATCACGATTAATCGTTTTATTTCTGTTTTGTACCATATCAATATTTTGATTGATGATGATAAATAATTGTGAAAATACTCAGAATTTCATGGCACAGTTTCTGAAAATGTCACTTTATTTCCAGTGGTTAAGGTTCTGATTTCCATTTGGGCCGACCGGCTGCCATGACGTTTATGAAGTCATGACTCATTTTCTAACGCAGAGCAACCGCCAGAGGATTTTACACCTGAGACCAAATGTTTCTTAAACACTGCCTGGCATTCAATAAGAGTTTCCTGTGTTTCAGAATTAATAAATGTTTTAAAAATAATTGTTCAAACTATGACTGTTTCATTAGTTTTAGTTAAACTCTGTTAAGTCTGGCTCATTCCTCCTGACAGAACCGATGTAACTGGGTCAGGGTTGCAGATCGTCTTGATCACATACAACTTTTTAACTCTTTCCAAATTTCTAATAAAACTAAGAACAGGGTTAAACTAGATAAAACTAGAATAGTGTAGAATAGCAGCGCAAAATGGAAAAGTTTGACAAAAAAAACCCTGGCCAACTGCAATCAGAAGGTATGAAGCAGCATTTATGCTAAACGGATGTAATAATTATTGAATGGTGAATAAAAATGAGGAAGAAACAGTTTCTTTGCATATTTTGTAGCATTGTCTGAGACTTCAAACTGGAGTCCCCGCTCAGAAGCTAATGCAGATTTTTGATGTTCTGCTTCATGTGAACCTGGAAAAAAGCAGAACTGGCTTCAGGTTTAAAGTCTCCATTGTCTCCACCACCAGAAACGGAAATAAATTATGCTAAAAAACCACTGGGACAATAAAACGGAACCATTTTAGACACAAAACAAATCTTACAAGGCACGAGACACTCCTCTCAGCTGCCAGTGTGTTTTAAATCATCCCTTCAAAAAGTAAATGACGGTTTGTAATTAAATTTGTTTAGTAAATATTCACATTTCCACATGGAAGTCAATTAATTTAGCAACAGTAAAGGTGCTAAAAGACACAGAGAAAACTTTAAAATGTGCAAAAATATACATATATTTTCCTCCACGCTGTGAGTGAAGCGCCTGCAGAAGTTAAAGTTGACATTCCTTTGCGATGATTCTGACTCGGGTGTGCCCGTCGCTTCTTTGTTCCTTCAAACAGACCAAGTTTTTCTGCAGACAGAAACTCATCACAAAGCGCATGTCGTAGCTTTATGTCGAGTCAAAGTATTTTTTTAATAGTGGATGTTGGAAACAGCCAGTCTTTGTGGTTTATTTTAAATGATTTATAAAAGCTGCTGAAACTTTGAAGAAGTCTTTTGTCTAAGCTGGTAGTTTCTCTAACATCACTAATCAGATTTTAGAAAGCAGAGCAGCTTCGTTTAGGAAAGATTATCTCTGCTCTGGGGAGAAATGTTCTGAAAATGTGGTTTTCCACCTGTGGTTGCAGTGACGTTGCGTCAATTAGCTGCTTCCTTTACGGCGTCTTTTCAGTCGTGCAAATTTTCTCAGACGAAATCTCCAATGTAAGAATGAAGATTCTTACGTTGAACCCATTGAATGAATCAATTCAGCAACTGACCAATCAGCGGCCACAGTTTGTTCAAAGTAAACGCCTCTCACCTGGACGAACCAAACCTCAAAGTGTTGAGGTTTACCATGAAGAAGCTGCAAAATGTGAAAAATAATCATCCAAATCATCAACACATCTCAAATATTTTGGTCAATCTTCCATTTATTGACTCAAATTTACTCTACATTTCGTTTTCATTTTTAGGAGCTCAGTGTTTCGGCTGTTTTTCAGTTTTCTGGAAGTTTGTTCCAGATTTGTGGTGCATAGAAACTGAATTTTTGTAAATGTTATTATTGTTGTAAAAACATAACTTCACATTAAGAGTTTTTGCAAATGTTTTGTTGGAAAAGACGATATTGTCTGTGTTCTGATCACATCAAGAAATAAATTAGGTTGAAGAAATTCTGGAGGGAGTTTAGATGTTTCTGGTGCAGAATGTTATCAAATTATTTATTTTATTTTTACCTCTTCAGCATTAAATTCAACCCTGAATATTTTCGTAGAACAACCAGCAGTCGGGTATTTTATCGCCCAGAGTGGGTCAGGAAGTCTTTTCTCCAGATTTGCAAACTTTAGTGAATGGATCTGTCTTTACTGAATGCTGCTGAATGCTTGTGGCCCAACTTTGTCACATAAAAGGAACAAAAATTAGATTTGTGCTGATTATAGTAGAAAACTTTGTGCTGCACCAACATTTTCCATTTGAAGACGATTTTGAAATATTTCTCTGAATAACAAGTCGGGTCCAGAGGGCCTGAGTTAAACTTGAGTCTGGGTCGCAGAATCCCTTCTAAGGGTCACAAATGGGCCCCGGGCCGCACTTTGGACATCCCTGATTTAGGGAACCAGGTGCCTGAAGAGGAAGTGATTTCACAGAATCAGGAAGTCTGGAGGAAAATGTTCAGTTTCATTGATATTAAATCATGAGACCAGTGGATCCAGTTCACGGTTTTAAAGACACAGCTGCGGTTGAAAACTTAAATCCGTTCACTTTGGGAAATAATGTTAATGTTTTTTATATTTAAAACAGAATTCAGTTTTTATTTGCATCTTTTAGTGCATTTCTACTATCGCATAAAATACGCTGAACTGCATGGTTAGATGTAAATTTTGCAGAATGTCCCATTTTTAATCGATTAATGGTCAGAATATTTGATTACTAGAATAATCGTTAGCTGCAGCCCTGATCAGGATTGATTTGTAAAAGCAATAAAAGGTAAAAGCACCAAGAGTGAAGACTTTTTACAGGCTGTGTTTGTATTCGAGTCCTTTCTAAACATGCAAAAGCAGAATTTTAGAAAGTTTGACTTTCAAAACTTTAATCAAAAGTTTATTTTAAAACATTTAGTGTGTTTGAAAATGATTTTCTGAAATGTTCTTTTTTGTGCTTAAAGGTTTATTAAAACATTCATTAAAAGTCGGGGTTGCTTTATTTCTCCTGAGGATTGGAGACGTTCTCTCCTGTTCTGAGGTCGCCGCCGTACCTGTTGGTTCCTCACCTGCTTTCTGACGCAACCTTCAGTGGAAACCCAGAAAAAAATCTGTTTCCACGCCGTCTTACAGGCAACAGGCAGAGTCAGCAAAGCTTTGTATTTTTAGCACTTCCACCTTCTGGGTGGAAGCTGCTGGTGCTGCTGGTGCTGCAGCTGCTGCTGCTGGTGCTGCTGGTGCTGCAGCAGGCGGACAGAACGGATTCGGCCAGTACACTTCAAAAACTCAAAAGTTTTGTCTAAAGCAGTTTCTAGAGCAAATTTATGAACCTATTCATTCATGAATCAGTTCAGTTGTGAATCTGTTCAGTTAGAAACCTGTTCATCCATGATCAGTTCAGGCAGGGAACTTTATGAACATTTTCAGTTAGGAATGTGTTCATTCATGGACCTGGTTAGTAAGGAATCAGTTCAGTCAGTAAACTGTTCAGTCAGGAATCTGTTCAGTCAGAAACGGACTCAACATTTGACGTCTGACTTCTCATGTAATGTTTATAATAAAGTGAAAGCTAATTTTTCAGCTTTAGCTCACGGAATCTCAACATTTTGTTTGTTGCAGTTTTGAGTAAATACCTTTGAGGTTGTATGCACCAATTCTTCGAACATCGTCTCAGTTCAGCTTCTGGGGAGTTTTTCTTTAGTCCTTCTGGGTAAAAGTCAGCAGCAGGAAGTCTGGCTTTTATCACTAAGCAGCCCTGAGATGATTTTACTTCCTTCCGGGTATTCTCAATTTATATGTTTATTTTAAATGCGTTATCTGGCCACAGTTTCCCCTTTCTTTCATATGTGGGTCTGTTTGTGGTGAAAAGAAGGGACGGCGCTTCCAGAATGTAACGGCGCCGCGCCGGCGGGCGGGGCTTAACCGCCAGCAGCCAATGGGAGGCCGGGGTGTCGCTGCGAAGCCCAGCTGATAGATGAGTCAAAGCGAGGGGAGCAGCCGAAAAGGTCTCACTTGTTGCTGAGCAGGAGCAGAGAGCGTCAGCTGACCGCGGAGCTCCGACCGCCTCGTCCCCATTCAGAGCCTGGAACCGAACCGGGAGTCCGCCTGCCAGCCCCGCCGCACCGCCGCCCCACAGGTGAGGCGTTTTCACCGTTTACCAGGACATGTTCAGACACGAAACACCTTTAAATGAGCGACGGAGGGATTTATTCTACATGTATTTCTAGAATACCAGCAGAGCTGAACGCTTCTGCTCTCCTGTTTTAACCATTTCAGTTTATTCGCTCATTTATTTACATTAACCAAACGGAGCCTTAAAAAAAATCCAGTTTCACTTTTCCATGTTTCCAGTGATCCTCGGTGAAACTGGTTACAGGGTCAATTCAAAGCGAGTTTTCCTCTGCCTGGCTGTTGATAAGGAGTCCTGTTTTATTGATTACTGAGTAAATGTAGTTGGACAAACTAGCGGATTAATACCGATGGACTGGAGCGTGAGGCCAGCTGATGAGATGAGGGTCTGTGCAGGGCCGCGTTCAGTAGGATGCGGTTTGGTGCCCAAGCCACACGGGTTTTTTTTTACCCCAGATATGCTTCGACGTGAAACTTTGGCTTGATAACCTGTATTTATACTCCTTTAAATCCGGAAAAACAATATTTTCTGACCCTTTCAACACTGAGACAAAACAAAACGCGTTTATCAACATGATAGAAAAAACTATTGGTTGTTTTACTCACTGGACTTGTACAACTGAAATCGGCTGATGATTTTTAAGCTAGGCGCACATTTGAATGGGTTAGCCCTTTAGCATGCTAGAGGATGTTTTGTTTACCACCACAATATTGGCAACTTATGATGGGATTTAAAATTTTTATTGTTGTTTCTCTAGAAATTTTAAAGGATAAATTCAGAAAATTTGGAAAAACTAGTTCTATGTTGACAAGGCCTTTACATGCGATGTTTCTGCATAACAATAGCTATGTTTCCATCCAAATGACATGCAAATTTTAATGAACTGTTGCAAAAAAGTAAACTTGTTTCCATCTTCTGGTTTGGTCTCTGAAAAATGTAGTTCCCCTGGACAAACCCTCTAGTGGGTGGAAAGTTCACTACATCAGAACCTGTTTGATTATTTTTGGTCATTTTTTTTACTTGGTTCATTGACTCGTCTTGAGAAAAGTCAAAAACACCTAAACTCTTTGTCAAAATTGAGGATGTTTCTCAAATCTTACCATTTTCTAAAGCTTCAAAATGTGCTTTAAAAACGACAACAAAAGATGATCAATTTAAAGTAATTTGCAGATGAAACCTTGTATGTTTTGGGCACCAAACTGGCTTCAGCCCAGGGCCCAGGTCCTCCTGAATCCAGCCCTGTTTGCATTATTTAAATAGAAAATGTGTTTATTGCGCTATTGGAAGCTGAAAGCCTGATGCAAAATTCATAAAGGTTAAAACGAAACTTTAGGAGCAGAAGTGAAACGCTGATGTTGCAGAAGTGTGTTTTTTTTTTTTTTTTTGGATAAAAGTGCTGAGTTTTCATGTTTTCTGGTGACTCCCTCCATGACCGAGGGTGCATAGTTCAGGAAAAAATCAGTTTGGATTCGGCTTCTACCCAAAACAAAGCAGTTTTAAGCTTCACCTGCTTGTGTTTTGAGGTTATTTTGGTGGAGTTGCTCTGATCCGATCTGTGTCAGAGAGCAGGGATGTGGTGAAAGCCCATCCCGTTATGCTCTGTCAGCATTGTCTCTGTGCAGAAGCATGCTGAATGGCTTCTCTCACAGCTGACTGCACATATGAGCGTAAAAACAAAGCTTTCTGCATCCCAGAGAGCTGAATGTGGAGCCGTGGGCTCCATCACGCCTCGCTGTGGGTTTTTTCACCTGGAGACGCGGGGCAGCCGATGTAAACATCCAGCCTCCCGCTGCAGCTGCTGATCAGCCTGATTGTAGCGTTTTCATTACAAATACACGCAAATCTGTGTCTATTTTCTGCAGACGTCTAAAAAATAACATAAGCAATTTCAGTGTTTCTATTTAATCAGAAATTAAGTTAAAATCACACGTAAATGAGCTATAAATCGCGATAAGTCATTAAAAAACATATTAGTAATTCAGTTGATCAATTTCAAGGTAATCTGTGAACCAACCAATCAGAGCTTTGAGGCGGGTTATAGTGCTGTCAGTCACAATCTGGTATGGTGCTGCTCAACCTCCTGATCCCTCTTGCTCTCTGCTAGCATAGCATGCTGTCAATGCTTAGCATAGCCACTGTTGATGGTAAAATTAACTGTTTTCCTTAAAATACAACTTGTTTCTCCACCATTAGCACATTTTTCAGGGAGTACATCAGGGTGATTGAGAGCGCTAAGCCCCTCCTCCTGGCTCTGATTGGTGGTCTGTGGTGCATTTCTTCAGGCAACAGCAGCTCAGGGAGGAGGTGTAGGAGATTGATCTTTTTATAGATTATCTGACTCGTATAATACTGTCACGACATGGTGACCGTTTTAACAAATATGTCATCAAAAATAGTTACAAACTGCAGGTTTAATATAAACGCAGTTTGTCAGATGTGAGCCACTTGGCTCTGCCGTCCGTCCTGCAGCTTCTTCCTGCTCAGGGTTTTCCCCTCACAACTCCTCCTCTTGTCTGCAGCAGCGTCGCTCACGCTGCGTCTCGTCTTCCTGTGTTTGTGCCAAACGAGTCGAATGTTGTGGCTGGAAACAAAGCGCATCACTTCCTGTGTCCCGGAAGTTTTTTTTTCCCTAGAAAAGGCCATCAAAGCTGCAAATGATGCTCCTCATCCAGCCTGATGACGTATGCTAAGTGTTTCCACAACCTGCTGCTGTAAACGTTTGAGCCGGAGCGAAAACCCTGCAGGAGGAAACGTCAGCATGCTGAAAGTGTCGGTTGTGGGAGAAATCGGTAAAACGTTATGCAACTTCAGGACCAGATCCTGGTTTTCTGATCTGGAACATCCAGAACTTCAGGAGATTTAAAGGCTTAGAAATAAAACCGCTGCTTTTTTCTTTTGGCAAACGAACAACTCAGAAAGACCAATAATTAAGCCAAACTTCACAAAACATAAAAACAATTTGCATTTAAAATGAGAAAAATCTTCTTTGTTTATTTTCTCCACAGAACTCCTCAAGTTGCAGTTTTACCTTCATCTGGTTCAAACTTAGTAAAACAAACTCATATTAAGCACCTTTTATGACCTAATTATCTTTTTTTAATCAACAGATTAGTAAACGGTATTTTTAGTGGCAGATGCTTCCTTTGCTCCAAATGATCATCGTTCGATAGAATAATTGATTACTAAGGTTGCAGCTCTGCTGGAAACGTTGTGAATCGTCACAGCAGAGGCTGATGCAGCACAACTTGCATGAAAAGCGTCTCGTTCCTGGCTGTGAATGGCTGATATCTGCAGGAAATCTGACATTTATGACTCAACGCAGATCATGTTGTTCCTTATTCTGAATTTGAGACGAGGGAAATGATTTTCTCCTCCAGTTTTCCTGCAGCTGAAACAAATTTGATGCTAATTTTCTCATTTTGAATGTTTGATCAGTGGCTTTAATTCTGCAGCCTTCCTGGTCCTGACAGCAGCAGGCCTAATATCAGCGCTGACTAAGACGCGGCGCGCCCACGCAGGTCGCAGTCGCATCAGACGGAGGTGTTGGCGTATTCGTGCTGCGGTGGCGCCGGGCCCTCCCCTCCGCTGCTCTCGGGATGACTGGCATCCCTGTTGACATGAAAGCTCCCAACACACACACCGAAGGCGGCGAAAACACTCCCACACACCCACATTTTCACACACTGTGGCATTTGGTTTGATGCTGGCAGAGGTCTGGCGCTTCACAGGCCGTGTTTGTCTGGGAATGAAGGAGAGAGGGGCAGAAAGCATCACCTCAGAAGCTCTGCTTGTTTTCCAGATGAGTGTCGGTCAATATGGGCTCTGTTGAAACTGTAAACACTCTCAGGTGAGGGGTTTCACTTTGAGTCGGCTGAAAGGTTGCAGCGAGGCTGGGTTTCATGTTGAAGTGGAGAAGATGTCAAAGTTTTACTGCAGAAGCTCAGAGTAGTTCATAGGAATAATTTTGCATCCATTTAACTGAAATAAAAGGGGAAATTTGTCAGGGTTGGTTTTCTCTGTGCTGCAGAAACATTTCAGGGGTGAAATCTGTTTTTTTATTTGTTGATTTTGAACGGATCCAGTGAGTGGCCTGATGAGGTGCAAAGGTCAGCAGTAAATGCTCAAATGCACAAACACAAAAAAGAAAATGTTGATCTGGAAACGGTAGAGTTGAAAAATAAATTTTAATCATTTAAAATAAACCTGAAACGATGGATTGTTTGTTGAAATATTTTTTTTTCCTATTGCAGATTGGATTTCTGATTTGAATAATTTGTTTTCTCATTTCTTTTGTAGAGAAATTACAAATGTCAAAATTAGGGCTGAAACAATTAATTTAAATAATAATCAATTAATTGATTAATTGTTAATTGGAGTATACAGACTCAAAAAAGGTACTTTGCCTTTTTTGAGTCTGATACTTCAGAGCAGTAATTAAGTCAAGATTGTACAAAAAATATATTGTGCATTTAAAATGAAACGTCTTGGAGAAACACAAGACTGAATAAACATGTTAGCTTTGTGCGTGTGTGTGTGTGTGTGTGTGTGTGTGTGTGTGTGTGTGGTATTCGCACACTCATGTTCCCAAAGGTTATTATTGTGATATTTTTACCATGAAATGCTCTGTTTAGTGCGTTTCTGCTAAATCGTGCAGCAAGGCGAGTATAAACACAGTTAGCGTTACTTTGAAATCGATGCCGTTTTTAACCTGCCTCAGATAAAACACTACAAACATCACAGACCTTGAGATGTGGGACCAGCAGAACCTCCTGCCTCTCATCGGTGGAGAGTGTCAGGATGTGGTTTGAGCTCAGTGACCGTTGAAGCTCAGACTTGCATGCTAGCAGGGTATTAAGGCATATTTGGTGGTTTTTAACTATTATAGCAGGAAGTTGTAAGTATTTTGTTGAATTAATGCATAAAACCTGCTTTTTTATTTTATGGTTTAAGTATGACATGAATCCAGTGTTGGTTGTGGTCAGGCATAAATTAAATGACTAAGATGAATGGAGGTCAATATAAAGTCCTAATAGGGTAGAAATACCAACTTGTGTGTTTGGAGCGTTTCTGTGATATTCACCTGACTTTCTGCAGACCGATGGACCTTATGGGACCGTAAACCCATTCTGATGCGGCAGAACCCTTTTGTAGAGTTGGGGGAACAAAACGGTTGCCAATTTGAACGAAAGTCGATGAAAAGTCTTAATAAGGGTATAAATGTTGACCTGTGTGTGTTTTTGTACGTCTGTTCAGAGTTCTTGTGAAATGCCCCAAAACCTCCTGCTCTGGTTTTATGTTTTCAAGCTGCTGCTCTAGTTTTTCAGCTGCCCAGAAACAAGAGTCTCTGTTGAGACACCAGAAACCAACATGTCCTCTTTGGTCTTAGACTTTTGGATTTAAAAATATCCTAAGAGGCCAGTTGATTCTCTGAATAACTCGGTGTGAAAATATTAAGTATGTCGGGGATTTTTCTCCATCTCTTCAGGAAGTTTCATGTCGGCGCCAGTCCAGTATTCATGGCCGAGCGGACGCATCTGTCTCGTCTGTGGACTCCTCCTCCTGGTCTCCTCCCCGCTCCTCTCTGCAGGTACTTTCTTCACACCTGGTGGGCAACCTTTGACCTTTTTATGGCTTGGTTCTGACTCATTCTGAAGACTCTTTCTGATCGTGACTGAATGTGAAACTGTGTTTTTTTTCTACTGTCTTCTTGCTAAACGTGTTTGTGTTTTGGAGGTTTGAAACCTGCCGTCTGGTTTAACTTATTGTAAAAGTTTTTTTCCTCTGAAGCTGGTTTATTCATAATTACATTCATTTTAAACTATCATTTTAACATGTAGGAAGTTAAAATGTTTTTCTGACTCGCCTTGAGGCGATAACGGAAGTCCCGGCGAGGGAGCTTATGTTTTCTACGCCAACGTAGAAAACTTTCACTTGCACGTAACATCACCGTGAAGCCGGAAAAACAACTTCTTGTCCATCACCTTTTGACTGATTTTCTTTATTTTGATTTAACAGTTGAAACTTTAACATTTCTAGACCAAATACAGAAAGTAATTGTTAGTTATGCACAAAGAAATCAATAAATTTTTGAATATCTGTGATCGGCCAGTGCTTCCATTGCAAACCGATCCATCAATCTTTTTCTCCCTCTGCAAAGGTTTAAAAAATCTGCCTCGTTTGCTTTGCCCTGTTTGTTTGGCAACGATTCAATGATTTTGATTTTAAAAAATGGAAATTGATTGTTATAAAAAATAAAGAAAATTGTTCAAAATTGGAATCGGCAGGTCAGGCATTTTAAAGATCAGAGATTGGCCAGACAGCTCCAGAACCCGCTCACCTGTCTGTCGACCTGTTTCTGACCCTGCAGGCCGGCTGAACTGCTCTCACCCTCTGGTACCAGAACATGGAGGTTTCCGCTGCGACCCGTCTCCATGCCGCGGGTTTCCTCCTAAGACCGTCATCCAGATCTTCTGTGAGAACGGATACCACACGGGCAACAAGAAGCCCAGCTCCAGGTGTCAGCGGGGGAGGTGGACCCCCATCCCGCCCTGCCTCCCCATGAAAGGTACGAATTTATTCAGAAAAACAGAAGATAATCATGATGAATCTGAGGCTGATAGTCCAGTGGATTTGGTTCAATTGGGACCAAAATTGTTATATTTTTAGCTGCAGTTATTCTCTTTCTTGCTGCACTGAGTCAAACTAACCAAACTAATTTAAAAACCTGTTCCCCTCCTCGCCTGTGGGGGCGCTGCACCAAGAACTGCTGAAGGAAACAACACAAAAACCTCTGAAGAAATGGAAACAAAAATGGAGAGGATTTCTCGTTTGTCTTTAGCAAAAGACCACGAGGCGCTAACGCTAGGTTAGCATGTTTGTATTTACTCAGAATGCCCTGCACTATAATCCACTTCCTGCTGTTGGAGAGCTCACCTTGGAGATCTCAGTTGGTTTAATTGCATAAAACATTTTGTCCAACAAACAGACGCCTTTATCCAACCAATCTGGGCTTAAAAACACTTTACATTTCTGGTGCTTTTATAATGAACATTAATGGAAATGAGATCTGGCCATGTATCTTATTTCAAAGCGAATGTTTTGGAGGTTTTAACCAAATAATTTAAAATATCGGTCTCAGTTAAACCTGTTGGAACAGGATTCTCTTTTCTGCTGATTAAAAACAATCATTTGCTCCTAGTTGAGCTGCACATGCAGGTTAGCAGGGATTACATTTTCAGATTACAGCGTCATAATGACGGCTTTTTATGCTGATTTGCATGGTGGGCGTAACTTCTCATTAATATTACTAGTTCAAGATGACATTTCCTAACAGCTAAAAATGTGATTAAGAAATATTCTTGGAAGACGGCAGCTGAAAGAACCCATCAAGATAAGGGGTCCGATCACTCAGCCCTGTGGTTCCCCACCTGATTCTTGCTGATCTCCCTTCTGTTCGTGTTTTGGAAACTTCTCTTGAAGGATGACATGCAGTTTGCTGAACATGTCGTAATGGTTGGAAGTGTGAAAAGTTTCTGCAGCTTCCAGTGAAAACGTCCAATTCAAACATTATGAAAGAATCTTTTGGATATTGTTTTCTTAATTCCTGTTTACGATCATTTCAATGAATGAATAAAAGGACTTCTGCTAAGTGAACTTTAAAAGCAGAATAAAACGGGCTCTGAATAAAATGGGGAAGAGCCGTTTCAGCTGACCAAGTCGAACATTTACACAAAACACAGGAACCTTCTCGATGCACATTTCACAGAAAAATTTGCAGGATTCTGTTTTGCAGTACGAGTTCTGGTGCAGAGGTTATTGGGCAACTCTGAACGTTTCCCGTAGCGCTGACCGAGTGCAGCGTTTCTCAGTTTATGATCTACTGACTCACGGTCGCTTCTGACCCAGATACTAACAGCAGTTAGTCATTTTATGAGGCTTTGCTGTTTTTTCCAACATTTAAAATTGGGGTTGCACAACTTTACTTCCCTTACTTGCTCACATTCTCTCTGCTTCCTAGAGAAGCAGAGAGAATGTTTCACAGACAAAGAAACTTTAGTTTCTTTGTCTTTGTCTGTTTCTTTGTCTAAAGTTTCACAGACAAAGAAACTTTAGTTTCTTTGTCTGTGAAAATCAAGAGGATAACTTCTCTTTTATTAAAACTATTTTAATAGTTTTGCCGGATTTCGCCCTGAAAATCTCCTCCTTTAGCAACACGCAGCAACTTTATCACCGTTATCTTTTGACCTATTTAGCAGATCCGCTCAGAGACTTTCTGACTCGCTGCAGAGGAACTAGAAGCTTCACTGTTCTCAAACTGTTCCAACTTCCTCTGTCGCCATTCAGTCGAACGCGAAGCAACAGGAAGTCAGAGCGCACAAAGAGGAAGCGGGCAAAGCCACTATAAATTAACCGAGATAGATTTCCTTCAAGCTTTCAGACCGATGGAAACCTGCGTCAAGTTAAATATTTTACAGAAATATAATGAAATGCATAAACAATTAAACAGAAGCTGCAAATTCCTGTTTCTGCAGTGGATGATGATGCTCTGTGTTGTAATAATCTGAGACATTAGTGGATTATTTGAACCAAATGGGCTCCAGTTTTACTATGAGGTAAAGGGATCCAAGCACTCAGCCTTGTGGAACCCCGTTTCCCCGTGTCCTTTGAAAACAGACATTACTGGCAACAAAACGCCACAAACAGCTGGAGTCTCTCAACAAGAAGTACATTAATCCTTTAAAATCCTAACCTGTGTTTTTATATAATCTCCTTTAGTTTACAATGTTTTGATGGTTTTTATTTTTAAAGTTTTGTTCAGAAGAATTAAATTCAGAAATACTTTATTTACCCCAAATGTTTGTTACTCATATCTTCACAGTAAGTTGTGAACCTTTAGCAGCAGAGACGATATTCCACAGCAACGTGTCCTGGGTGACAATCGTTTGTTAGCAAACTCTGCTAATCCTCCTCCTTTGCTTTTGCTGCTCCTCTTCTGGAACAGATGGTTTGAACTTTCTTTCTCTCTGCATCCAGGATTCGTCCTTTTCAGCTCCTCGGAGGTTTGGGGTCGTAGTTCGGATATTATTTGAGCTTCTGAAATCAGCTGCTAATGGTTGTGAAAGCAATACCTTGTTGCCATGGTTACACATCATAACTGTCCAAACGTATAAAAAAAGACACATCGGAACCAGAGGGAATAATTGATTTACTCCTTTTTTCTTTCCTAGCTTCAACCATTCAGTTTGTGTTTTACAGAGTTTCTTCCACCTGTGATCGTTTTAATTAATGTTTTTTAACATTTTTGCGTCTCTGCCCTCCTCCACAGACGGGCCCAGCATGAAGCCCGATGGCGACATGCCCAGCATGGCCACCACCGCGGTGGGCGTGTCCATCTTCCTGCTCACCACCACCGCCTGCCTGATCGTCAAGTCCCGCCTCTACCCCTGCCGATCGCACGGGTAAGAAGAACGCCAAGCAGCTGAAGCCAAATCTGATCGACAGAAACTGTTTTGAAATCCAAACTGGGTTGAATTGAATGATAATTGGATCTGAATCTGGATTTGTGGTCCAGTGACTGAATGATAAATAAAATCATTTGGGCTACGTTCACACATCAGGCAAAATGACCAACTCTGACATTTTCATGTCGGTCTGAACCGCCCACTTCCGATCATTTCACCCAAAACAAAACTCATTTGTGCCACTTCCACACGGCCCAAGTCATTGTAGGAAACTGACGATAAGTGGAACTAAAAACTCATTTCCTAATTACCTTTAAATAATGTGAGGTTCCTCTTCCTGTCTCCCGCAGCCGCCGCTCCTCCGACCAGCTGGACCTGATGGTGGACGGCCTCTCCGTGTCTCTCCCGTCCTACGAAGAGGCGGTGTACGGCAGCTGGGGGCAGCGCATCCCTCCCTGCTCCGCCCCGGGACCGACCCAGCTCCTGCTGGCCCAGGAGGAACCCGGCTTCTGCCCGTCGCCTCCAGCCGGCCAGCCGGACGGCGGCCACCAGCCCCTGCTGTCCATCCAGAGCCCGGAGAACGCCCCTCCGCCCTACGAAGAGGTCCCATCGTCCCGATCCAGAGACCGGCTGAACGACGGGAACATCCGCCATCTATCGGACGATAAGGACACTTGATCGCCGAGGAGCTCCTGTGGAGACGCGATTGTGACAGCTGGTGATCTTCAGCGTTTCATCTGATGAACATGAAGGAGGAGCAGCTGATTCCTCCACCGCCTGCACTTTTCCTGATTGGCCGCAGCTGCACGGCTTCAGAACGGAAATGATTTTTAGACGAAGCTGACTAAATCCGATCGGCCAGCACAGAACACAGGACTCTGTACGTTGAGGTACATGAGTCAATAACATGCCTCTGTTATTGATCATAACACTTACACAGGTTCAAAAAATGCTGACTTGGAAAAAAATCCCCGCTGTTTGGCGCCCCCACCGCAGCGCCCAGTGCGTCGACGGAGCTGGCTGAGGACTGAAGCGTTTTTCTAAATAAAATGTTGATTGTATTGAGTGTGTGTGTTATGAATGTAAGGCTTGGGCTGGATGTTGTTTTCCTCCTGGCCGGTTTCTAAGCTGTTAAACGTTAATTTATGTAAATGTTTTAGGCGTGTTTTCAGTTCTGGAGACGTCGTTTTTCCCTCCCCTCAGTGATGGGGCTGTGTTACAGGAACGTTTCCTGTTTCCATGGCGATCGACTCTACGCCATTCCTGTCTGAGACTTTTGCACGTCTTCAGGTGCAGTCAGACTGGTGCACAGATTTATGAAAGTAATTTAAGCGTTTTATTAATTGTACATAAAATAAATATATTTTGAGAGATGAGAACAATCAAATGGGTTTCTGTTGTAATCAGTGGAGAGCGGAATGTAAATATCTATATTTTTAATATAGCATTTAAATCTACTACCTAAGACTGATTTTCTTTAAATCAGACTAATGTACTTTTGTGTTTTGCTTTTTATTTCTTAACCTGCAAAAAAAAAAAATCTTTAAATGGCCTGGAAGCTTCGGACACTTCCCTGTTTTTATTTCTGCAGGGATGCCTTCAGACCTTGAATGTATTTAATGTTTGATTTTGTGTAGCTGTTAAAAGGATTGTAATACTTGCAGATGATTATTTGTACATTGTATTATTGCACAGAATTCTAATATAATAAATGTTTGAAGCGTTTATGTTGGTCTGATTTGTGACGTAATTAGTTTCAGCTGTGAAAGTTGATGGACGGAGACGCAGCGAGGCTCGTTTCTCTTTAATCACCAGGAAGGTGAATAAATTAAATTTAAAAAGATTAAATATAACATAAGAATGAGTTTATTGGGAGTATTTTGCCAGTCGAAAAGGATTTTTCTCCTGCTGAAGGTTAGTCGAAACTCCGATGTGGTTTGCTTCGTGTCGCTGGTTTCTTATAGCATTTGCACCATTTCGGTTCGCTTTCAAGATTTTTAAAAAAGGATTTATTGCAGGAAATGTGACTGTTTCAGAATCCGACCACATCGAGCAGTAGCTCAGAGAATCAGATGTTTAATGGGGGAGTCGAGCTAACAGTCACTCAAATCGGGACTTTTTTCACTTGGAAAGAGAAAATCTGGGTTAGAAAAGTAAAAAATAGGTGGATTTCTGCTTTATTTTTATGTTGAAATTTCAAGTTACCAAAGTAATTGTTTCAGCAGAACAGCATATAGTGGACTAAGTGTGTGTGTGTGTTTTGCTTTATACATGTTTCTAATCTTAATATTTAAAGATAGAGTAAATCCAAAGACAAATTAAAAAAAAATTTAAGAGGAAAAAACATCCCAAAAGCACAGGGTTGTAAAATGTTAAATTATGACAGAAGTGTAATCGGTCTATTTTTCGCAATAACCAACACATGATGTCCCAATCAGAGGCGGAGCTAAAAATGTTCTCGAAAGTGGAATTACTTCAACATATTTTTACTGAAGTAAAATTAACTGTCCAAGAAATTAAGTCCGAGTAAAAAATATTGATGAACAGGACGAGTAACTGATCATAACATGCTTTAATCATTAAAATGCCAATAAGTTATGCGTACATATGAGCCGGGACTTAACAGTCAATTTCGATTAATATATAGATTTTAATGCGTTAAAAATTTTAACACCTACCGGAACCTTTGTATTCACGCATTTCTGGTAGTCCCGTAAATCTGACGTACAAATGCCATCCGCTAAAGCCACTGCGGTTAATTTCTGTTTCCAGAAGCGATCTGATGGAAAAGACTATTGTTGTGTTCAAGTTTTGCTAAAAGGAGTTAGCATATCAGCAAAGCTATTAAAGCCTGAAATAGCATCTCATTACTACAAGTTGCTACCGTCAGAGTGCACAGCCATATTTCTAAGGAAATATTGCTTAAATTTACTAAAACACTTGAAAGCTGAATGGATAGAATAGGAATTAGCATCAATCTGATGGCTGAATAACAGGCCAAAAATATAAATAGCTTTGAAAATGTTACACACCCTGAAATGACTTTTAAGCTAATTATAATCGAGTCTTGCCATATGGATAAATTACTTCCAGTGATTGTATGTGCAGTTTCCATACATGTTCACCTTCACCTGACCTCCAAATGGCCGACAGACTCACCAGATAGTAAATAACAGAATAACAAAGTTGGTGCATAAACAAGAGGTCTCACTTCAACATAAACTGTCCATTTATTTTTGGTTGAAACATGTTTATTCTTCATTCAGTGAAGTTACTCAGTCTGTAAATTTTACTGAAGTAAGAGTACCAATTCTTCATAATATTAACCAAACATAAAACTATTATGTTTACAATACCCCCTCCAAAAAAAAAAAAACAAAAAAAAAAGTAAATGTAACTATTTACTTTCCAACTCTTGGCCCAAATCTACAGATGACGGTGAGTCAGAGGTCATGATTCAGCAATAAGGAGAACCAGTCTCAGATTTACCAAAAACATCTTAATGATCCTGAAGATTTCAGGAAATTAAGTTTTTGGTAGAATAGAACAGAAATGTCCATTATTGTCCCACAGTGATAAAAACTGAAAAATAAGAGACTGGACAGCTACCGCTAACTTGACATGTGACGGTAGTAGCCAGTTTAGATTCCCACTTCCTGCTTTGGTTTGAATCCTCGGAGTTCCGACCACAAAAAGCGGAAGTGGATCGATGAGTCAGGAGTGGAGGCGGCGGTCCGGTCCGGCTTACTGTAAGCAGTCAGCTCGGTTCGATGAATGATCCTGACCAACACTTCCTTCTCCCACGTGGGACCGTGGGGCAATTATTGTTTTTATGTAAGAGAGGAGTTTAAAAATTACACCAGCGTTTGTTTTGCAACGGCTGCGGGCGCGTCTACACGCGATGACGTCACGTCCTGGCAGATAAGAGAAATGGATGAAGAAACGGGGGTGAAAAGACGAAATGTCCCTCCTTTAGTCACAAAATGTTTCTGGTTGAGCGAACAGGAGGTGAATCAGAGGCAGGAGCAGCAAAAGGGCAAATTACCAGAAACCGCCGGGGGCAGTTCTGACGTCATCATGGTCCGTTTGGGCCTTCACACTGAAGTTGAACCAGAACCAAACTCATCTTGCTTCAGGACGGTTAGGTTCACCAAATTTAAGACTCAATAATGTACGGCGGCGTATTGGGGCCAAAACTTGAACATTTCTGTTTCAAAAGTTGAAAATTTGCAAGAAAAAACTGAAATCTTTGACAGTTATCGCAGAAATCTCCAAAATTTTCTAGAAAATTTTTGAGTTTTTTATTTGTTAAGGTTTTATTGGCTCTTGCGGCCCTCACTCGACAGCGAATTGACAGGAAAGTGGGCAACGAGAGAAGGGGGCAGACATGCCGTAAAGGTGGCCAGGCCGGGAAACAAACCGGCGACAGCCACGTTGAGGACCAAGGCCTCCTGCACCACCACAGCACACGCTTCGACACTTTTTAAACTCTGTCCAGTTTTAAATTTGCTAGAAAAAAAACATTTTCAGATCTCTGAAATTTTCTAGAAAAAACTTGAAAGTTTGAGTTTGAAAAGTCAAAAATTTACAAGAAAAAAATCATACATTTTGACCATACATTATCTCAGAAATGTCCAGTTTTTTCTGAACAATTCAAGTTTGAAAAGTCAAATATTTCCTAATAGAGGACTCTAAAATCTCCAGAATTATTTAAATGTGGAAATTTCTGAGCTTCAAAAGTTTAATTTTTTTTACTTTTGAAACTTTGAGTAAAGNTGACAATTTGCAAGGAAAAAAAAATCTGAAATTGAAATCAGTCCCAGAGATTTTCTAGAAAAAACTAGAGACATTTCCGTTTCAAAAATTGAAAATTTTCCAAAGTGGAACATTTTTGGCTTTTGAAATTTTGAGATTTGTCTCAGATTTGAGAAGGAACTTGGAAAATAGAGATTTAGAGCAAATTTTTAACTTTCCAAACACTGAAATTACCAAGTTTTTTCTAGAAAATGTATGAGCTTAATCTCAAAATTGTGTTTTGGTGTAAATTTCCTCCTTTTTTTCTATCTACAGTGACCATAATACACTGCTGTAATAGTGAGAGAATCTGTCAGATTAATTTATTAGCATCTTCAGTGTCAGAAGTTTACTCACTTCAACATATTTTTATTTATGTAAAAGTAAAAAGTATCCATCCAAGAAATTAGTGAAAAAGTATTTGGTAAAAAGTCAATTCAAGTACTGAGCAACTGATCAAATTATCGATCATTTCATCATGAATGATATGTCAGGAGGATTATGGGTAAAAATCCCAAACGTTTTAAAAGGCAATTATCTGATTCTGACCTAATGTATGTAAACTTCTGAATTAGAAGAAAGTTAATCTAAATTTTGCAACATTTTCTGGTTTTTAGTAATTCTGACTGACATAAAACATGAGAAGTTTGATTTGATTTAACTTCAGACAATGAAAAAAACTGTATTTAAACTTCTATATCTCTAAAGTATTTTAATCTTTTCTCCCATTTAAAGTCAGAAGTTCTGCAGTTTCCATGAATCCGTCACAACGAAACAAAAACTTCAGGAACAGGTAAGAATTTTCAGTAAATCATTAACCTGCTGATTTGTTGTCATGAGTTGATCAGATTAGCTGCAGCTCATGTGACGCTGTGTGTGACTAGCAGCAGAAAACCCCGCAGAGTAACGCTAAAATGTGATTCTGGTTAATTTATGACCAGCTGGTCTGGAGGAAGTCCGACCAGAGAGACGGCAGGTTCAGCTTTCCTGTAATCAGGACCAACAGCCGCCGATGAAACGGCGCGTTGGGGTCGTTGCAAACGGACCGAAAAAAGGAGGAAATTTCCATCAAAAAATACAAGATTATGCTGAGAAAATTTCTAGAAGAAACTTGGAAATTTGAGTTTCAAAAGCTAAAAGTATTTGACTTTTCACATTCAGAAATAATGGATCATTTGAGATTAATCTAAAACTTTTTAGTTTTTTTTTTTAAATATTTCTGAAGATGTTCCTCAAAAAATCTTTTCAAAATTTTCACTTGAAATTCAAATTTAAAAAATTCTCAAATTTCTTTGAGTATAAAGCAAATTTTCAACCATTGAAACTCAAATTTTTTTTCCAGAAAAATTTCTGAAAATATTTAAATTCTATAAATTTTTGAAATATTTTCACTTTTCAAACTCCTTACTTTTTTGTAGAACATTTCTGAAATGAACCTTAATTTTGTGTTTTAACTGACATTTACTGAGTTCTACCTACAAACACCAACACCGTGCTGCACACTGCAAAATTTAGTAGTTTTAATCCAGTTTGTAATGCAAATTTTTAGTACACTTGAAATGAGGCAAAACTAATGTGCAAGTAACTTTTCAGTAAGACATGAGCTCATTTCAATACAATAATTCCTTAATATTGAATTTAAAAGGTGCTAGTGTCACTGGCAGATTATTTTACATTTTTCCCAAATAAAATATTCTGGCAGAAAAACTGGAACCGTTTCATCAATTTTAATGAATTATTGATTTAAAACCAGACGTGTTGCTGCTCTTCCTGACCAAACATCTGATAAATCAGTCAAACTCACAGCAGTTTTAGTTTTAAACAGTTTTATTTATTTCAAGAGTACATACAGAATAAACAGTAAAAGGTTCCAGAAAATGGTATTTATTCATTTATTGGCCGCTCTGCAGAGAAGCAGCTTTAGAGCAGAATCAGTGTGAAGGTAACAGTCTGGCTGAAGGTTTTACTGCATGGCGAGAAGGCACAGAGCTCTGTGTGAGAAACAACCTGGCAGTTTTTATTCAAAGTTTGTTTTTCTCCTGAAAGCGACACGTTGAATGTTTCACATCGATTTAATTCATCAAAACTGTTTCAGTTCAGCGATTTGAGGTATAATTTGTTACAAGATTCAAACTTAAAGGAAGAAAATAAAACACTAGTGTTTAATCACAAGCATAGACATGCTAACTCTACTTTTATTCAGCTAGTAATGGCTTCAGTAAAGAGGTTAGTAAAATACATGATTTCCATTTACAAACTGGAGAGAATCTGCTCCAGTTTTCCAGCCGGGTCAGAACTGGGAAGTCTGGGAGTCGATTACTGAAACCTTTCTTTTGATTGATCGCTTCGCATTGGCTTACAGGGAGTGTCGGATGAACCCCGCCCGCCTGGGACGCCGGGAGGATCAGAACGAGCGCCACCAGAGTGGCTCCGCAGGAGGCTCGCATTTAGCACGGTAAATAAACTCAAACTACAGTTAATGTATCGTTAAAAACAAAAAGTAGAAAAAGTTGTAAAAATTGCCACTGAGATCAGGATTGCCACTGATATTCGCATTTTTTAGTTGCTGTTTTTAAAAGGTTTTTGGTGTAATTATGAAAATAAAAATGGCAGATTATTGTAGAAGTGCTTCACAAGCGAAACTTTTTTTTTTGCAAGCTGTTCATCTTTAAAACAACAGAAACGATTAAAACGTGATACATCTGATTTTTAGCTGCACTAAGAAATGTTTTTCCGAACGCTCCAGATGGAGAAAGCCGGCACCGCCTGCCGTTTCCTAGGAAACCGGCGCCGTCTCGGTTCACAGCGGAGGAAAGCGTCCCGGTCGGTTGTGCCGCTCGGCCCTCAGCGGGCGGCGGGGCGCGTGCGAGGCGACCATCTTGTGCGTAAAGGTTTGTGGTTTTGTTTAGATGTGTGCGCTTAAGTTGCTGTGTTGCTGCTGCAGGCGGACTCGGCGCCAACCCCTCTCCCTCTCTCTCTCTGTCGCTCGCCCTGACGGCGGCGGAGGTCGCGCCGACCCCGGAGCTGCTTCAGGTCATGGGCGAGAGCGGCGGCGACAGATCAGCCGGCCGAGGGACGAAGATGTCCCTCATCAGAGCTGCAGAGAGACGGAGACAATTCTGCTTTAAATATGAGGGGAAAAAAAACTTTAAAATGTTTTACTGCAGAAGAAAAGGGATTAAAAATCCCCAGTTGTAATTTAAACTGATAAGAGCATCAATGAACGTTTAAATCTGAGGAAACAAAACAACATGATCTTCAAACTAGGGTTCGTGGGCCGAATTTGGCCTGCTGGTAAACGGCACAGGCACCACCAAGACTACAAGTCCCAGAATGCTTTGCTGGTGAAAGTTTTATTTAAAATTTTAAATGTGCCTATAATATTGAGCCTGTTTCAGATTCAGTTTGTTTTCAAATGAAAATTTTTATTACCTGAAGAGAAGAAAAAACCTTTTCTGTTAACAGTGTGAAGAACTACTAGGAGAAACAAATAACTATTAAGGAAATGAATCACTAAAACTGAATCACTAAAACTTCTAAAAGAAGAAGTAGTTCTTTTTCCACTATGGAGAGGAAAACTTGAACCAGAAAAAGAACTACTGAGAAAAAGAACAAGACAAAGTAAGAACTACATATAGAAGAACTACTAATGGGATGAATTGGTTGAACTAGAAAAAGAACTACCATAGTAAAGAACAAGAACTAAAACAACAAAGAACTGATCATTTGTTCTCTTCATGTTAATAAATCAGTCTGCGCCTGTACTGTGTGGGGTTCCTGTGGGTGCGCTTGTTTTTACCTGCGGTGTCGCACAGTGCTGACAGAACCGGGTCTCTGTCTGTGAGCAGCTGACTGCGTCCGGAGTCCAGAACCAGATCCGACTGGTCGCCATCTTCCAGCGAACCCTGGAAAAAAACAAACAAAAAAAAATAAAACAAAGATCAGAGAAGTTTTCAAGGATTAAATTAAAGCACCTATGAGGCTCAGATTAGCCTTCATTAGCTACCATGTTAGCATTAGCAATAGCTTTAAAAGGCACCTAGAACTTTCTACCAACTAAAATTTGAAAACAACTAGAAAAGAATCTGAAAGTTTTCAGTTTGAACCTGAAGTGGATCTGATTGAAAGCGAATGTTCGGAGTTAAATGCTAACGCCAGCTAGCGTCCTGCAGGCCTCACCAGCAGCCTGTGGCTGAGCAGCAGCTCCTCCTCTATGGAGGTCGGGTCCGGTTTGTGTCTCTTGTCCTGGATCAGCAGCAGAGGCGGCGGCTCTTTGTCCAAGTCGTGAGTCCTGAGCGAGAAAGACGAGTCGGTGAAACCAGGCAGCAAAATTCAGATAAAAAAAAAAAATGTTCAGGAGGTTAATAAACATGTTCAAAAGCTAAAACCTCAGTTTATTTTTTATTTATTAAGACCAAATTATTTAATATTCATCAGAAGAAAAAAATTCTTTTTTATAACAAATTAACATTTAATCAAACAATGTGGTTGTAAATATATAGTTTCTGCTGTTGTATAAATGCAAACAATAATTAAATGCTCATTTCAAACATAATTTAAAAGAGGAAGCTTGCATGGTGACGTGTCCATCCTCATTAATCATGGTTGAAACTCCTGCTTCACTGGAAGCATTAGGAGCCAAATGCTTCCTCTGGCGCCCTCTTCAGGACAAACTACATTTTGTCTAAAACGTGCAATAAAATAAAGTTTTTGACAACAGAAAATCTCAAATTATGTCACTTAAAAACAGAGTTGATTGACACCAAATTTTATTTTTTGTTATGTTCTGGGCGGTGGGGCAAGTTGACCTTTCATGACCTCAGGAAACTATTACTAACATCTTTAAAGTGACAGCAGCACAAACGTTTGACACCAATTTGGTTCAACTTGAATAAAAATGGGAATAAACTTCTCTCGGGACCCGACCCAGGATCATCCCGACAGGAAGTGATGCGGCTCACCTCTTCCTGCTGACGGTGACGGCAGGACTCCCATCGGCGCCCTGGAGCAGCAGCGAGGCGGGTTTGTCGGCTTCCTGCGGCAGGTCGCTGAGGAAGGTGAGCTGGAAGTCGTCGTCCATGGAGATGTACGGCGCGTACATCTCCAGCTCCTTCCCCTCCACGTCCTGAAACAAGAAATTTAGAAATTTCTCAGTTTCAAAACAGAAAACTTAACAGATTTTGATTCTCAGAATTTTTAAAAACTTTTTAAAACATTTCTAAGATTAATTTCTAAATTTTTGAGGTTGTTTCGACTACAAATTTAGAAATGTCCCATTTTTTTCTAGAAATTTCTGAACTTCAAAAGTGGAAAATTATCCACTTTTGAAATGCAAGAATTTTCCAAGTTTTTTTTAAAGAAGATTTTTTAAATTAATCTTAAAATGTCTTTTTTTTTCTTTTTTACAATTTTAGATTTTTGGAGGTCAGATATTTCCAAGTTTTTAAAATAAAATTTCTAGCATCATTGTCTACATTTCTGAGTGTTTTGGCTGAAATTCCCTCCCGTCTAAAGCGGCTCCAACGCGGCGCCGTAGTTTCCCGTTTCCCACCTCGGCAGCTTGTTCCTTGAGCTGCGTTTCCTCCGGGCAGACGGTGAAGAAGCGCTCCACCTCGCTGGTGTCCATCGCCTCGTCCTCACAGGGGCTCTGGGCCGGACGGAGACCAGCAGTCAGACCAGGACCAGAACATTCGCTGGTTAAAAGAGGAGGTTTGGTTACCAGGTCCGGCTCAGAGGAGGCGGCCGGGGATGAGGACGGATTCAGGCCGTCGAAGATGGGCGACAGCAGCTGCCGCAGCTGAGGGCTGCACAGATCCTTAGGATGGTCCGGAACCGTGTCTGGACTGGGAGGACTGGCGAACGACAGCTCCACCCCACCTGACGGGGAAAAAAAACAGCTGCTGGTTGGAAATAGGGCTGGAACGATTAATCGAATTAATCACGATTAATTCGATTAATCGCGATTAATCCGATTTTTGAAATAATCACCAACCGTAGAATACGTCTCAAAAACAGGTCATTTGGTGGGAAAACAATACAAAGAGCAGAAATCAAACCAAAACTGTACAAGAAATACAAAATAAATACTTAAATGTTTGTATTTGTTTTAACTGCTGGTGGTGTCTTTGCTACAAATGATCAAACGTTCACTAAAGGAATAATGTTATTGCATTTCAGGCAATAAAATATTTATTTTCTAATTGAAATTTTTTTATTATTTGTTCATTTGCAGTTTCATATTTTTAATATTATATAAAAGAATCTTAAGTGGTCAAGTGAAAAATCTGCCTTTTTTTGTCAACTAACCGTCATAATAATCCATAACTAAAATCACCATTAGCTACAGCCCTAAATAATTGCTTGGAAAATTTGCAGGATATGCCATTTTTATAGAATAACTGATTAATCGTCTGAATAATCATGAGCTGAAACCGATCGGACTGGCTAACGGGTCAGAACGGCCGGCTCACCTGCCGTCAGCGGCGGCTCCCCGCCGTCCGCCAGCTGCAGCAGCTCCTCCGGTTTCTCCGTCAGCCCCAGGAGGAGCTTCGCCGAGCTGCCGGCGTCCTCGCCGTCCGAGTCGCAGGTGTCGGAGATGCCGCTGTCCTCGGCGGTGCGCTCCGGGGAGGACGGCTCGGTTTTAGGCAGGAGGCTGCAGCGGGTCTGCTCGACGGAGAACACCACGTCCGGCTGCTCCACCGCGCTGCAGGAGGACACAACAGGAGGGTTAGAGCTTCATCACTCCTCCTCCTCTGGAAGGAAAGGATCGCTCTCCGCCGGTCGGAGCACCTGAGGATGAAGTTGAGGCAGACGATGGCTTCGGGCTGCGACGTCTTGTTGTTGTAGAGGACGGTGGCTTGAGTCTCGGCCCACACGAAGCCGCCGCTGTTGGCCAGGAAGCGGTAGGGGGAAGTGTTCACCTGGCCTTTGGACAGAACTGCAGCCACAGGAAGAGGAACTTTGATTCAGTTATTAAACGCTCAACGCTGCCGGGCGCAATCCTGTCATATTCAACAATAAATCAATAAATAGCACGAAAACTCAAAATGAACTCAATAATTTCATAATTTATCGTTTCTCCTGTTTTCTACCAAAAACTGGATGACAAAAGTTTTCAGTCTGGTGTTTTACAGTTAGCCGTTTTATGAAGCATCATTTTGTTCAGATACTTTATAATTCATTTCATTTGTTGTTTCTGTTTTTTTTAGATATTTAAAATGTCCTCCAGGTCCAGAGTTAAATGTTCTTTATAATTTAAAGTTTATTGATCTTTGAAAATGTGTTCTTGCTTTATTACATCATCACTATTAATGGCCTCAAAACAACAATATTATTGTTCACTGCAATAACTTCTGGGACGAAGAAACATTTGTTATTGTGACAGAAACTTTTGCAATAACCAATAATATTGTTGATTTAAGGCCATTAATAGTGATGTATTGATAAGGACATAATACATTTTCTAATATCAGCCAACTTTAAATTTGTAAAGAACATTTAACTCGAACTGAAACATTTTAAACAATCACCAAAAACAAACAAATAAAAACATCACAAAACTGAAACCATAAATGAAATGATTAAATATTTAATCTTTTAATTTAGTACATTTATTAATATGGAAATTTTAATACTTTTACATTTTATTTAAAACTCGACATTTTTTTCGTGCATTTTTAAAAATATTCCTAGTCATTTTTCATAACTATGTATTCACAACATCCAGGTTTTTATGTGTTCGGTGGATATTTCTACCTGTTAATGGTTACAAGCTAAGCTAAGCTATGCAAAGCTAAGCAAAGTTTTTTTCCTGGAAGTAGAAATAAACTTAATATAATTAATGTATAATATGATTAATAATGTTTGACTTGAAGGAGAGGATTAAATGTTTGTACTTCTTTCTATCCTCAGGATTTGATTTTATGTTTTTTTCTGTTTATATATTTTTGTGTTAATATTTGCATTGCTATACAATAGTAAAAAAAAAATAAAAATTATTAAACTCACGTGTTAGCAGGCTCTTCTTGATGCGATCCGAGTCGAGCGCGTGATAAAACTCGTAGGCCGAGCGTCCAATCAGGTCCTCCGGTTTGTACCCCACCAGCTCCGTTACCCTGACGACAAAAACCCGCAGAGTAAAACCCGAGTCCGGTGTCTCTGTGGGCGGAGGGCGAGGCGGGCGACCCACCTGCCCTCGCAGTGGGTGAAGCGCAGGTCCATGGTGTGGCGCGTGAGGAAGGTGCAGCTGTCCAGAGGGAACTCCACGCTGGACGGGTGGGGGATCGGCTCGCACAGCAGCGTCATCACTCTGGCAGCAGGGGGCGACGCTGAGCCAAACGGGCGGATGTGGCCCGTGCAGTGGAGAACCTGAGGGAGAGGAGAAAACTGTCGCTACCATCCTGAAAGGAGGGATGAAAATAAAGAAAATCTACCATTTTTTCATAAGAGATCCAATTTTTGTCCTGTTTTCTTTAATAAGAAATTACAAATGACAGAAAAGTGGATTTTGTTTTAATCCTCCTTTATGTGAGTTTAACGATGGAGAACTAGAGCCAGAAGTGTTTGATAATGAGAATCAAGTCATGTTAGAATAAAGTCTTAAAAATAAGTTTTTGTAAATGAGAAAAAAAGCCTGGATATTTTCTTTTGTTATTTTTTGTGTCGGTATATTCTGCTAATGTTAATACTTTATTCTCCTACGATTTCGACCTCATCAGTAAAAAAAAGAAGAAAAAGAACTAGCCTGGCATTATTATTATGAAGTTGACCTGAATTCAAAAATAAACAGAAGCTGTCAAACAAGATGGCCGCCCTGACATCACCACAGAAACCAGAGGAGAGATTGGGTAAAAAAAAAAAAAAATCCTGATTTTCCACAAATTAAATCTTCACTAGAGATGCAGCGATCAAATATTAATAACTGTATCCGTTAAAGCAAAGTTTTCTGGGGTTTTACATGGAAAAAGTTTCCTAATTTAGACAAAGAAACATTTAATGACATTTTGTTTTCATATCACACTAAATGTCAAAGTTCTCCTGCAGCCCGGTGGGTCAGAGCAGTACCATCTGCCGGAGCGCGTCTGGACTGTAAGTGACAGGTCCGGTGCTCTGCAGAGCCGAGCCGGGCGCGCTCCGAGTTCCTGGGATTGCTGGCGGAGGCGTTGACGCGACCTTGGCTCGTCTCCACGGAAACACTCAGCGCCTCGTATCGCTTTCATCCTGGACTCACACGAGGGACAAAAACGGCTTCGCCCTCCGCTGGGACGCATCACGACCGCATCAGAGGGACCGCCTTCCTGTAATCCGATTACTTTCTTTTTCTTCAAGTAACCGCAAATAAAAGTAATAATACGACTGAGTTACGAAATCGTGATTTTGTTTCTGAGCATCTCACAACAATCCCAGATAAGCGTGCGTTGTCATGGTAACAGGGATCCTGCTGCAGATTTTTGTTTTTATTTTAAATCATTATTACTCCTCCCTGCACTTTAACTTTTAAAAGATGTATATTTTATTAATTCGTTGCACAGGAAAGATTTATTTAAATTATTTTATCATCTATTTGAATGAAGGCGAGTAAAAACAAAAATAAGTTTATGGTGGAATAGTGAGAAAAACTTGATTTACGCAGAGAAAAGGATTAAATATTCAACAAAGTCCATCAAGTCAGAAACTGTTGGAGTTCATGAGTTTAAAAAGCAAAGAGTTTTAAAAAGAGGCGGTTTTATTTGATTAAATGTTATAAGATGGAATATGCAAAAAGAATAGACTTCAGGTTGTGAATTGTTTTTTGTAACCAAGTGTTAAATTAATTACTTTAGAATAGAAGTAAATAATTTCTCTCTCTACCTTCCAGGTGGCAGATTTGATGTTGACGGTGCGCCCCCTGCTGGTCAGGGTGCTCTTCATTCGCAGGAAGAAGTTCCTCTCGCTCGGTTGCTCCGCCATCAGCTTCTTACTCAGACCTGAAGACGCAGGACCAAAATAAAAACGTGGCGCTGGATGAGCTCCTGTTTGTTCTGCTTTTTATGTGCATTTCAAAAATTTCTTCTTGTGGCAGATATAAGTTTATACACATTTCTGCTCCTTTTCATTCATGATTTATTTTAGTTGTTACATAAACTATTCATATTTGTTCGCTCTGATGCATAAAATCGCCGTTCTGCGGTTCTGACCTGGACGCGGAGTCAGGAGGTCTCGCAGCTCCTCCTGGTCGCAGGGATGAATGAAGTCGTAGACGCTCTGGCCGATCAGCTCCAGCTGTGAGACAGAAAACAAGCCGGTCAGACGGAGGACGGACCCGGCCGGGATCGGAACCGGAGGAGGAACGGGGCAGAACCTGCGTGATGCCGATGTGCTTGTTGACGTTCTCCGTCAGGAACACCATGTCCCCCTCCTCGGTCATCACCATGACGAAGCCCGCCAACGCCTGGGGAAAGAAGGCGTCCATCGGATCCTCTTCCTCCTCCTCTTCCTCCTTCTTCACACTCTCTTCTGTGGGGATCAAAACAAACATCAGAGGTTCTGCAGGTTTCAGAAAGTAAAGCTTTTAATGCCAACCACAGCTGGGTAGATTACACTCAGCTAGAAGTGGCTCATATTCAAATATTCACCCAAGAAATTACTCAAGAGTGAAAAAGTATTTGGTATAAAGTTTACTCAGGTAACAGGTAACTAATCAAATTATCATTCATTTTATATTTAAAAAAATAAAATTTAGACAGACCAAAATATAAAGTTAAGTGGAAAGTTTGGTGTTTAAAGTACGGTGTAGTAAAAATAGTCCTAAAAGTAATTTTTTTTTTTTTCAAAAAAGTTACTGAAATAAATGTAACTAGTTACTACTAAATTAAATTACTTCTGTCTTAAATTTCTAAATTTAAGACAGAAGAAACTATAGAAATAGAGGATCCTGAATGAATGTTGTGACATATTTGCACTTATCCATGATGGACACAGAAAAAAGCTAGCTAGCTAGAAACGGCACATTAGCAGCTAGTTAGCGTTAGCCTGGAGTCACAAAACCTAATGAAAATGTCTGAATGCAACTCAAACTTTTGTCTGACAAAAAGTCCGGCACAAAAAAAGACAACATATGAATGACAAAATGTTAGACCAATAATTCGCATATTTAAGGCTAATTTACTTTTAAAAACTGAATTTAAGGCATTTTAAGGACGTGTGGCTCGGGGGCCATTTGAGGCTCTTGGATTGAGTTTGTGTGGCCCCCATCTGCAACTCAAGAATGAGGCAAGTTTTACCCAGAGATGCAGATGGAGGCGTTTCATTTTTAATCTGGGTAAAATTACCACCAACATCATTAAAAAATGTAAGTATAACACAAAGTTTTAGTTTTTTATCTCCATCTATCCAGAGACTCTGCTGCAGCGAAAGCAGAGGATTTCCGTCTCACCGGGTCGCAGGAGCTGCTGCATCCGCAGGAAGCTGAGCGTCACCCTCATGATGCCGGCCTTGTCCAGGTGGGTGCAGACTCGGCGTGGCAGCGGCAGGGTCCGGGCCAGTTCGTAGAACACCTCGGTCTCCTGGCTGCGCCGGCAGCGGGCCGCATCGCGAGAGCGGAGCTTCCTCTGCTCCGAGCTGCTCCTGCAGGACGAACAGGAGGAGCATGAAGCAGATTGTCGATGGTACCAAGCCCAGTTCTGGTTCTGCTACAGGTTTCTTCCTGTTAAACAGGAGCTTTTACTCTCCACTGTCGGCACATGCATGCTCGATTTGAGAGATTGCAGTGAAGTCGATGACACAATGCAAGCATGGGTGCACCGATTTATCGACCGACCGGCCGATTTTCTTAATTTTGGGAGATCTGTGATCAGCCGATACTTAAAAGTGAAGCCGATCTTATCATCATCAGCAAATATCTAAAAATCAGCCGCTGTCCTCTGCAGTTAGAGGTTTCACTGATAGACCGGCCATCAGGTCATGCACTTGTCAATAATCTACCCACGGCTGCCAACTCAGCGACTTTCTTGCTATACTTAGAAGCACCAAACAGTTGCTGAAATACAGTTTAGACTGAATTAAATCAACAATGTGGTTGCATGCATTTATAGGTTTTAGAAAGGAAAAATCAGAAAGAGTCCAACTCGGCAGATGACCTGAAACCAGATCGGTGCTTCTCTAATCTGAATGATTTCTGTTTCTCCGGTTGTAAAATCCGTCCAGATCGACTGACTTGTGTCACCTGCTGTTAAAAACATTAAAAAGCTGCAGTTACTTGGATCCTGACTGAAGTAACATGTTAAACTTGCTGCAGCTTGAGCTAATCGGAGTAAAATCAGAGACGCAGCCAGTCCGCCCAAACATGGACGTCCCACACCCACTTCACAAGGCAAGCAAAACAATCTCAAGTGGAAAAATACCAGCAGGATCTGTAACTTGTGACATGGAGCGCAGCCTGGACCGGCCCCTTCCTCCTTCTCCTCCTCCTCCTTCTGCAGGAAACCTAGTGAACCCTGCAGCACCTGAGTCCTCGGTTTGGACCGGACCGGACCAGAGAACACACCCAGACACACACCAGACCCAAACATGGTGCCTCAGTTAGCTCCGTGCTGGAGGAAACGTTTCTCCTGTTTTTGTTCCTCTGAGATGCTTATCCATCCTTCCTGACGCCTGTAGGAATCCAAATCGCTTCCTTTTGTTCTGGGGGATTCCAGCTAACGACCATTTCACTAATCAATTAATTGATTATTCTGACGATTAATGAATTCATCGTATTAAAAATCAGCAAATCCAGCAGATTTTTGTTCAACTGCAGCCTTTTTTACTTTAACATAAAAAATACATTAAAGGATGCAAGTAAACTAATTTTTCAAGAAATTCTTTTACTGTGAAAAACATTTTATTGCCTAAAACGCAGCAGCAGCATTCCTTTAGTGAACGTTTGTCATTTGTGCCCAACGTCACCATGTGATCCGATTATTTTTAGATTAACAGATTAATAATTGGGCAGCTAAAAGAGCTTAACAGGAGATTTTTAAAGGAATTTGAACAAAGTGAAGCTAAAATTGCCACCTGAGAAGTTATGAGTAAAGCATATTTACAGACAAAAATGTCTTTTTTTATCTTAAATGCAAAACGTATATAGTTTTTTTTAGCAGTTCTGGGTTAATTTCTGCTCTGGATTTGTTCTTTCAGCAAATTTTCCTTTATCTTCTCTGGTTAACAATTAATCAATAAATTAGCTGATTATCTGAATAATCGATTAATCGCGATGAATGATTCCAGACTTGGTTTTCTGCCAGAACTGCCCAGTTCCCAGCAGCTTCCTGCGGCTCCGTCTCCTGATGTAAACAGAGCAGCTTCCGGCCACGCCTCAGCGCCACGCAGCCGACACGTGGCGCGCCGCCTCTGCTCACGTGAACCACGCCGTGGGTTGTTGTGAAAGTTCCTGCAGGGGGAGAAGGGAGCGGCAGAGGGCCTCTTCACCCCCTCCGGTAGGCGCTGAACTCAGAAACCCTACAGACCCTCATGTTTACGGCATGATTCAACCGTGTGTATGAGCTTCAGCAAGGGGTCAAGTGTCAAATACCTGCAGCAGATTACAGTGAGATACAACCTGGGAGGAGGCTGGAGGAACGCTGCAGACACCGATCCACCTGAAACCGGCAGGATCAGAGCAGAGAGGCGCTGAGTCCAAAATGACTGCAGGCCAAACAGAACAACACACCCAAACACGTCACGCTGACTCATCGCTTTTAAATCTGTTTACAGCCATTTCTTCTTCTTCTGATGCTGGGGTCAGGTAGTACACAGTTCTGTTCAGTCCACTTTAATCCAACTCCAGTCCATTTCACTAGAAAGTCCGATTCATTTGGGGACGTGTGAATGCTAATCGAACCAAAAAGTGAACTCTGATTCGGTTTGAATGCATATTTAAACGCTAAGCGGACCGGAGACCGATCCAAAACCAGGACGTGGACGACAGCGCAGGGCATTCTGGGTAAATACAACCAAACCAAATGCATCAGCCAAGTGCTAGCAGCAGAAATGGTTAGTGCTCTCTAGCCAAAGACAAAACAGAAATCTACCAACCACTAAAATCTGACGACGCTCTATTTTTGTTTCCATCTGGTGAAGAAGGAAGTTGCGCTCCGTTTCTTCAGAGGTTTTTGTGTCGTTTCCTTCAGTGGTTCCTGGTGCAGCGCCCCCACTGGCCAGGAGGGGAACAGGTTGCTCAAAGGACAAAAGATAAATGTACAACATCATCCGGGGCTTCAGACGTCTCCCAGAGAGCTGCTCAGTCATCCCAACACGGAAACCAACTAGACGTCCCCCTGAAAAGGTGGGGCCAAGAGCGAAAGGTTGCACCGATAATACAAAGACTTTAAACAATAGACGTCCATTAACAATATGGCCGACACTGATCACCAATATTTATTAGAATTATATACATTTCTCCAGAGAAGCTTCTCTGCTTCACCCACAATCCTGCCTGGGGCTGGAAAATACACCACTATGGAAGAATTTCATATCAGTTGATATTAGGGCTGCAATCTGTGATTATTTTAGTTATTGATTAATCGATTATTAAGGCAATCGATTAATTGGACTAAAATTACACACACACACACACACACACACACACACACACACACGAAATAATATTGTAAATCTGTTCTGCCCAACAGATTTAGATTCACTGGATTTCTGGAAAAAAAAAACATTATCTTTTGCTATCCAATTATTCATTTTTTAATAAAATATCAATCATCACCAGATCAGTCCTGTATTGATATTAAGTCAAGCAGAAACTGCTGAGCTTTTCATGTTGGATTTTTTTAGCTGCAGGTGAATCCTTTGCTACAAATGATCAAACGTTCACTAAAAGAATGCTGATGCTGCGACTTAGGCCATAAATAGTTTATTTTCTTATTTTAAAAAAAGAATTAAATGATTTGTTTGTTAGCATTGTTTTATGCATTTCTAAGTGGTTAATTAAAAAGAAATCAGCAGAATGTCAGGGTTTTTTTATCTGATTAATCGTCAAAATAAATTAATTGTCAGAATAAATCGATTAATCGTCAGAACGATAAATTACCAAAATAATTGTTAGCTGCAGCCCTGAAGAGCTACTGAGGTCAAATGCAAAAAAAAAAAAAAAAAGATTACTTATTGATATGGAGCAAAACGACGTGTCCAGAAAAATGAGATTGCACATCACCATAGCGAAGCATGGTGGTGGGAGCATAATGCTGAGGGAGTGCTTGTCCTCAGCAGGACAGATGTAAAACCTGGAGGAAAACCTGTTAGAAGCTGCAGAATTTATTACAGAAGCTGTCGATGTGACGCAGTTGGAACGATTTCAAACGGGAAATCTTCAGCTTGTTGCCAAGTAAAGCTGGTGGCAGCTTGCAGTGAAATGTGTTTCTTCATTACTTCAGGTTGCTCCGAAATGTAAAACTGTTAAAACTGTGCAGCTGCTGCATAACGCCAAGCTGCTGCAGGCGTCGTGATGCAACCAGAGGCTGGAATTTCACTCTGGACCGACGCCGATGTAAACTTCCAGCTTCTGTTCAGAGTTAAACTTGAGCAAGTGAAAGGAAGAAAAACAAAACCTCAGATCTGAATGATGATTGCAACACCTTTAAGATCATTTGGGTTGTTGTTCCTGTTGTCCTTGTTTACAGTTTAACTGGCTTACAGCTAATAAAACACAGTGATCTCTTCCTGGCTGGCTGGTTTGTCTGAGCCAACTGTGACGTCCTCAAAGTCAAGAACTCAGTGTACTGAGAACAGGAAGTGCAGTGTACAGAACAAAAACACGCCGCGTAAACAGACACGACACATTTCAGTTTGATCACGTTGCATCAGCAACCAGATCCAGATTAAGGTCCAAAAGCCGCCGCCGTGTGTAGGCGGCTGAGCATGCCAAGTCATGCCCACTCCCACAGCTGTCCTGAAACTTCACTGCGACTCCGGAGGAATGAGAAACTCCACACACCGGCGCTGCAGATTACTGTAACGGAGGAAGCCACAGGAGGAATGTTTCTGCTTTCAGGGGTCGCCACATGAGACAAGGGGTCAAAAATGGCAAAAAAATATTCTGAAATATTCCACTGGACACCTGTTTTAAGGCCGATTTACACAAAATAATTTGAATCAGTGGAGGCAGAAGAGAGAAGCTGAAGGAGTAGACGTAAAGCTGCCGTTTAGGGCCGAAACGATTAATCATGATTAATCGATTATTCAAATAATATTTTTACCAATTCAGTAACTGTTTAATCAAAAATAACTGAGCAACAACTGTACAAAAACTAGGTACTTTTTCCAGTTAAGATAAAAAACATTTTTTGTTTGTAAATACTTTCTACCCAGAATTACTCAAGTGGTAATTTTAGCTTCATTTGGTTCAAATTTTGTAAATAAAATAAACAGATCAGCATCCATACTATGTGCAGAAAGGGTTTAGCTTTTCATGTTTATGTTAAAAGTATTTTAGCTGCAGATGGATCCTTTGATCAAATGCTATTGTTGCATTTTAGGCAAGAAAATGTTTATCGTCTTATTTTAAAAAGGAAAATGCATTTAAATGCATTTAAAATACTGTATAAAAAGGCTTTTCATGAAAAATCCACAAAATGTGCCAGCTTTTTATCTGATTATTTGATTAATCATCAAAATAAATCGATAGATTAATTGATTGCTAAAATAATGGTTAATTGCAGCTTCTCTGCAGTTGAATCCCTGTGAAGCGAAGCTTTAAACGGGTTCCTCTCCGACACAGGCGTTCCTGAAAGGCCTGATCTGCTGCAGGGACGTTTCACAAGTTCAGTCTGAAAACAAACATCTGTACTTCTGAGGAGCTGAGGCCTTTCAGCGATAACATTCCTCAGCAAACTTTTACTGAAAGCCCTGTCAGGCGGCGGAGACTGAAGTAAAGAAACATGAGAACAACAACAGAGCCGAGATAATAAAACTCTGGGAACGGAGTTGAACTGGAGGGAGCCCTGGACCATTTTTATCATTTTGATTATATACAAAAATACAGCATGAAGCATAATGTCAAAACCATTGTTTTACACGTTCAAAGGAATGGGCGGGAGATTAAATTTATCTAAATACTCCAGCTAATGATTCATTGCTTTAATCAGTTGATGATAATCAATGAATCATTTCAGATTTCATTTAGTCCCTTTAAAATAGTAACATTTCTATCCCATGAATCCATTATTCATTTTCTCTGCCTTGTCATTTTGCTACAGTTCAGCCGTTTTAACAAGATGCAGCTGAAGTGAAAACCGTGACCCATCACTATATGGGATGGTGGCAGTGGAAGACGGCAGCTCTGCTGGTCATGAAGGAACTTTTCCTCCCACTTCACACCTACCTGCCAACTCGGCTCTCTGGCTGCCTCACCTAACCCCCCATTCAGTAATTTTAGGACAGAATCAGGGTGTAAATCATCTGATGAGGACCTTCGGTTTGGTCTGTCACAATAAATCCATTAATCACACGATAATTTCCATTTGCATGATTTATCATTTTTCCTCTTTTCCCTCTTCCTACTGGATGACTAAAGTCCTTTTTGTGAAGGACAGTTTTGTTTAGAAAGACTTCATATTTAATTTCTCGTCCAGTAAAATGTGTTATTATGACAATCAACTATCATCCAAATCATTTCCAAGCAACTGGGTGAAGTATGCCAGGATTTTCACCATTCAGGAAACAACTGCTACCCTGAGGTCATCCACCATTAAGGTTTTGAAACAGACAGCCAAGCTGTGGAACAGCATTCACATCGAACTGTGTTGAATGAAACACCAAGCTGATGACGTTGAGTTGATGAACCAATGAGGACTGCCGCTCTGTCCCGCGCTGACTGTGGGGATCAAGCGGCGCCCGACTAGCTCATCGAACTCGCTAGAATCCATTTGGATGTTGGGAAATGACCAAATTTATCATGACGGCTCAGTAGACCTGACTGTAAAATCTCAGCTGACAGTGTTCCTGGAGTCTGCACAGTACGCCCCAGTATGCGGAGCCTCAAGCAAACATTTGTTTCAGGGTATTCAGGAAAGTGTTTTCACTGCTAGATGGACTTTCACTGGACAGGCAGCGTTAAGCCCAAACTCCTAACAGGACATCAAGCTAATGCAACAACAAACTATTACGTCTTGTATTTGTTTCAACCAGTGCCGTTTTTCTGTGGCTGCCAGCAGCGCCATCCTAGTCAAACCGAACCGTTATGGGCCCAGAACTGAAGCGGGTCCAGGAATGGTGTGGAACGGGTCGGTTGTAGCGTACCACACCGACCTGTGCCACTCAGCAGAAACAAGGCAATATGGAGTCAGATTTTTATAGTTTAAAGTAAGAAAAATCAACTTGAACTCTGATACATGAATAATCTTTTTCTTAATATCTAAAATGGCCGCCACATTGCCCAAAGCTTTGATAGCTGCAGAATAAAACTGTTCATTTACACTTTTGTAAACATATTTACAGGCTTGGATTACTTGGAGTAGTTAGAATAGATACTGATCACATGATCACAGCAATTAGCAGGATCCACCTGAGGCCAGGTGAGTTCAACATTGCACAATAAAAGTTCAGCAACAGGCTCTAAATGAACAACTCGGCTGACTTCTGAATTCAAAACAATCAGAAGAAACAGCTCTGCTCCACACCTGTCAAACTGAAAGTGACTAAAAGTGTTTAAAAATGTGTGAACAACAGGAAGAAAGCTAGACTTCAGTAACTAAGACCTCTGCAGTCAAGAGCTGACAAAAATTCACAAGAAGAGAAAACAATTTGGCAAGAGGGCGGAGTTTAAGAGAACAAACTGTCCTAGATCAGAGGACAAACTGTGGTCATTATCTGTTTAAATTGGCAGTGTGTGTTTATGTCCTCTGGAGTCCGAAACTGACTGAGAACATAATCTGGATTGTGGTCATGTGGGTGAACTATATTTACCAAGTAATGGAGGATTACAGCAGGAGCTTTATTACTGTCCTGCAGCAGGGAGAGGGACACCAACACAAACCTGGAGTTAAAATAAATGAGCTATATTTATCAAACAATGGAATAAGAACAGAGATTATTCAAAGGGTTATTTTTAATCCACTTAATTCAGATTAGATTTATAGCAATCATTTAGACTTTTGCACAAACAAAAATAAAACACTTTTACCCTGAATGTCACCAGAATCTGACCTTCTACTGCAGGTCATTTTTAAAGGAATTACTGTAAAAGCAAGCAGCAAATAAACACAAACTCTCAGCAGACATTTCTGATCAATGCAACAACGTGAAATTAAAAGTGAGGCTGAATCCACGCAGAAAGCCTCCATCTGTGACCGTGGCGTAAACAATGGCGCAGAAAGCAGAAGCAGGGAGCCTCCAGAGCCCACCCACACGACACATACGACACATTTTCACCAAAAGCGACACATTTTAGCCAGCAAAACGGAGAAATTAGCTTAACATGTAGCAGCGGATTTAGCTCATTTAATCAGAACACCAGATAGTTGCAGCCGTTTGTTCTTGCAGCCGAACTCGTTTCGGGAAATTTCGAGCAAATTCTCCCACATCTGAATCATGTAAACCCAATTTTAATTAAAATATAGTAATAAATAAATGGATCTCACCGTTTAACCGCCACGACCCCGTCTTCCTTCTCCATGTTTCATCAGAACTCCAAAGCAAAGTCTCACTGTTTCCTTACGACGCTCACTGCAGCTCAGAAAAGAGACGAATTAACAGATATCACTGCGCGGGGATAAAGACATCAACGGCTAGCACAGGCCACTTCCGCTCACCCTTTCAGAATAAAAGCCTCATACAAACTCAGGGACGAAAAGCGATGTGGGCTAGTATAAATAAATCAGTGGAGTAAATACATTACAACTTGCTCAGTTCTTGTTTTATTATTATTATTATTTTTTAAATCTCTTACGTTTACCAGAATTTAGGGAATTTTTTTTCATCATTTTTCTATTTTTCTATAATCAGTCTAAATAAATATTTCAACTGTATTTATTTTTAATACGTGGGGATAAATAGCAAGCCTACGTGCTTAAGTATTTGAGTTTTAATACAAACCATTTTCAACAACCTTTGTTTGTTGAAAATGACAATATTAACTTTCACTCAAAGGTTTTGGCACAAATAAATTAAAAGACTTTAAATAGTTTTAAATCGATATATTGATCTGTGCCTCCCAAAAATTTCCTGCCATCCCAATAATTTTTTTCTGAGAATAATTGTCCAATTATGAAACAATTCAACCAAAGAATTATGAACAACAGTATATAAAACAACAAATAATAATTAACAGAACAACTCCATATGCTGCCATGACGCAACTCTGGAATTAATAAAACAATAATAGAGTATTTTTAAATAACTGATAAATCACTATATGTACTGTACCCATATATTGCACGGGTTACACTTTTTAAATTTAAATTATTAAAATAAGTCAGCTTTTCAAAGTTAATGGCGAACGTTCTGCTTTGTGGTGCGTTTGTAATAGCTGGGAATTTAGACTTTCAAAATGACGTCACACTCAGTGTTACTGTTCTGGGCAGCGTCCAGGCTAACTGTTGTTAGCAAAACATTGTATTTATTTGCGTTTTGTTAATTCAAACCCCCAACATGTTCACTGACTAGTGTTGAAAAGCTGAGTGGATCGCAGTTCGAAGGAGATGCAAACAGTCCACACTACAATGAAGGAGTCCATCGCTGTAGCCTTTACGGAAATTTTGTGTCTGGATTATGGAAGTATTTCTCCAAATACACATTTTCGGATCGGTGATTTGAATTTTAGGGATATTGAAATTGTCTTTTTTGACCTTGAGGTTAGAAATTCTTCCTTGCCCGGTGGGACTAGAACGCACCATGAAAGTAGGTCAACGAAGCGAAGACGGCTTTTATTTTCTATCTTTCGGTTTTCGCCGTTGCTACGTTTCCAGCTTGACTCTTTCGACGCTGCCGTGTCGCCACACACCCACCATACGTCACTTCACGTCCTGTTTATGTCTCTTCATAGGCTTTGAAGAGGGGCGGGGGTCTTGAGGGAACCTATAGCTATTTCGTTTCAGTACACGAAGTATTACATAACCACATTTCCACCAGCAGAGAACTGAAAATTGAAATCATACACGGTCAAAGCTATATGAATCACTGTGCATGGGGGCAGTTTTGGAGGCAAATATGGACAAAAAAATTACAAAATTGATACCTGGAAACATTTCTTTTATAATAAAACAATATATTTGGCAGAAATTATGGTAATCATACAAAATAAAACAAATTATCATAATTTTTTATTTCTAATTTTAGTACATATAGATGCAAATTCCTCAAAACTATAAGACAATTTCCAGATGTTTATGCATAAAATCATTCTGCAAACTGCATCATGTACCATGTATTTGTCGCTTTCTCAGGTAAATGTCTTTAATTCTACATTTTTGTTTGACCAATTATTTATTTTTATTGTTCATTACGTTGTATTTTATGTTAAACAGTTTTAGAAATGGCCACGATAGCTGCAGAATGAGCTTCTTCACACGGAATTCCGCCCTCTACTGGCCAACTAAGGTCACTTTTTTTAGGTAATTCTGCAGAAATCAGGTGCATATTGTTTTACTTGTTAAAGCTTCTATTTCCCAAAAGAAATACATTACAAAAAAAAAATAATCTCCTTCTCACCCTCCGTGGGTGGGTCTCTCTCTCTCTCTCTCTCTCTCTCTCTCTCTCTACCAGAGGCCTGGGAGCTTGAGGTTCTCCTCCAGTATCTTGGCTGTGCCTAGAACTGCACATTTCTGGACTGAGATGTCTGATGTTGTTCCTGGGATCTGTTTGAGCCACTGCTCCAGTTTGGGGGTGACTGCCCCGAGGGCCCCGATGACCACAGGCACCACTGTGGTCTT